CCAAAAGAAAAGGGGATCCTTGTTATGATGTAAATGACACTCCAGGGGAAGGATGGTTTTATCTTGGGAAATACTGTGATCTGTCTTTCTCTCCCTTGGTCAATTCAACAATCGTAGAAGGGGAGGAACAGAGACTGTGGATCACATTATTGGTGATTACTTTGCTATCAAAGAAATCCTAAGTGAAAACCTACAGAGTGACCCAAGATTCTTGTTGATTACTTTCATTTCTATTTGAAATAAAGTACAGTGGGGAAGATAGAGGATCCTTGTCATTCCCACTCCTTATCCCTTTATTGTTCCTAGCTATTTTCCAGATTTTTTTTTTAGTAAAAGTTTTACAACGTCTTCTAAAAGGAATCTCCCCTGAAGATTTTGATACCGGGATGATTCGTAGGGTTATCAGTGCTAAGTCCTCATAATATACTTCCATTTGAAAAATGGAGGTGTTGATCGAAGGAATTGACTCGTTCTGTAGGGGCAAATGGTGTTGCCAAACCATGTCTTGATCACTACAAGACAGCTTCAAACTGAATGGTCTAGGGCAGTGGTTCTCAACCTTTCCAGACTACTGTACCCCTTTCAGGAGTCTCATTTGTCTTGCGTACCTCAAGTTTCACCTCACTTAAAACTGACTTGCTTACAGAATTGGACATAAAATACAAAAGTGTCATGGCAAACTGTTACTGAAAAATTGCTTACTTTCTCATTTTGTCTGTGTGAAATTTTAGTTTATAATGACATCACTAGTGCTTTACGTGTAGCCTGTTATAAAACTAGGCAAATACCTAGATGAGTTGAGGTACCCCCTGGAAGTCCTCTTTGTACCCCCAGGGGTGTGCTTTTACCCCTGGTTGAGAACCACTGTTCTAGGGAATATTGAAGCGCTGGGTCTGACAATAGGACTTGAAATACTGGTGCCACAAAGGACACATCGGTGAGAGCTAGGAGTTCTAGCCTGTTTCATGGCTGGGTGCTGAGACAGGAGTAGGAATCCAGTCAGGTGATAAATTTTACAAGAGTATAATTCTGCCCCCCTCCACCCCCGCCAACAGCATGGACAGAGCTGTGAAGCAAAGAGGGAATGCTGGAAATGTGGATGTGACAAGTACAACCATACTGTACACATTTGCTCCTCTAATGAAACCATTATCTAGCAGCCTATGAAATTATTTTTATTTATTTAACACTTACATTGCAGTAATGCCTGCCCAGTCCCATTTTGCTACGTGCTATACAGACACATAGTAAATGGCAGTCCCTGCTCCCAAGGAGTGATTGGAAAAGTCAATCTGTGGATTTGCTTTTTTTCTCTACCCCTCTGTCCTCCCCAATTTCATTACTCAATCCATTCTGGATTTATTTGTGTAGAATAAAAATATTGTGTGCTACATCTTACTCCCACCCTCTAGTCTGTGCTCGGTATGTTTTCTGTTTAGATGATAAGGTCTTTAGGGCAGGGACCTGTCCTCCATTTGGAGCTATGTAAATAATAAATACAACACAAGTACTGTTGTCCTGATTCATTCTTCTTTTTTTAAATGACCTAAAAGTGTATGCTATCAGTTATGAATTTTGGAGCTGGTAAAACCATGTTGTTATGTAGCTTTTGGAAATATTTATTTTCACCACTTAGAAATATGACACACACTTTTCACCCTGTAACTGGTGGTTTGAAAATATTTTAACTGTTTTTGATCAATCCCAAATGTACCCATTTGATTTCTCACTGTGAACTGCAATACCTTCCCATGCGTAATAGAGCAGGAAGGTTTCAGTGGTACAGTAAGATGAAATGCAAATATTTAGGTGTTCACATGTTTAACTAGATTAGAAGTTTAGCTGGAATCATATTATATTCTCCGTATAACACCATCCTCTCAGAGCCCAGCATTTGAAATGTTGAAAAGTATGGTGGTAATGCTCACACAGTATAAATATAGTACCTAGCTTGTTACAAGTGATGTTAAGCTTGGCACAGAGTTTAATATCCAGTACAGAGCTTTGGTTACGCAAGGCTCCTATCTTCTCACACTTGACCAACACTTGAGAGCCACAGTGGTCTCAGATATAGTTTTTGGAATCAGGGCCTTGGACTTGGCAGGGGGGAAGCTGTTCCGTATCTTTGTGTATGATGGCCAGGGGCTAAGAAGCGATCAGGAGACAGAATGGCAACACAAGAGGGAAGAATTTTTAGTGGAGTGTAGATAGATATGTAGGAAGAGGGGGTTTGTGCTGAAGCTGACCTGGAATTCAAATTTTGTGTCTTTGGATTTGCCTGTACTTCAGTTTAGGTTATGAAGCCTCTCTCCCGCTCCCCAGTAAAAGCCCAGCAGCATTTTGGAGCATTGCCTGCTTACTAGTAGATGGTATCCTTGTACTATGCAATAACCAGTCTGAACACTGAATCAGCACTTGAAGTTATGTACAGCTGCTTCTGTATTGCTCTTCAGTTGAAGTGAGTCTTCTCTACAAAGTATTCAGTCATTGAGACTGAGGAGTAAATAGACTTGAATCTGCAAAATAGTTACATAAAATATGTAGAAAAGTCTGTTCCACAAAAGTCGAAATATTTAGGTTTCAAACATACAATATTGCTACTCAATTTCTGTTATTAATGTTTACTTAAAGTAAACATTCTGGCTTATTCTTCTGTGCTGACAAAATGGATGCCTTTGCTTGCTTTCTGTTTGTGTGCTCTTGAAGAGTGATGATGTCGTTGTTAAGAGAAATGTTGGTTGGGATAAGGTTGGCTTTCAACAAAACAAACTTTATTCCTTTATTCCTTTTCTGTAGAAAGAGCAAGGAATTCCAGCTTTATGGTGTAGCAGTAATGTCATCTTTACTGTATACTCAAGTTTTTCTACATTTCTCAGCTACAGTCCTTCATTGTGGCTGTTAGTTTAAAAACAATTAGCTAGGATTGCATAGTGAAACAAGGAGAGTCTAGTCCATTTCACTTTCCTGCTGCAGCCCATGTGCAGTGTTTTGGCATAGATTCTGTTCCCAATTTAGTACATCAAGCATGCTTCGGAATCAAGTTGTCTGTTAAACTCAGACATGGTCCTTATGAAATGAGATTGAAAGGAAGGTCACAGTCACATTTTCCCCCCCTCTTACTCTTTAAGCATGTAACATAGGAAAACATGATCCATTCTCACTAGCAGTGAATGTCCATGTTTGCATTAGATGCATCTATCCTTAAAAGTTGTGCCAAAGTTATAGTGACACTTGGAACAAATGCTGCTTGCACCTGTTCCAAAGCAGCTTTGTTTCCTTTCTTAATAAAACTACAATAGAACCTCAGAGTTATGAACTGAGCAATCAACCACACATCTCATTTGGAACTGGAAGTACACAATCATGCAGCAGCAGAGATGTTAAAAAACGCAAACATGGTACTGTACTATGTTAAAAGTAAACTACTAAAAAAATAAAGGGAAAGCAGCATTTTTCTTCTGCCTAGTAAAGTTTCAAAGCTATATTAAGTCAGTGTTCAGTTTTAAACTTTTTAAAGAACAATCATAACATTTTGTTCAGAGTTCTGAACATTTAGAGTTACAAACAACCTCCATTTCCGAGACGTTTGTAACTCTGAGGTTCTACTATAGATCCGTGTAAAAGGATCGCTTCGCAATATGGTTTCTAAAGTTTGTTTGTAGATTGTCATTGACAAAGCCTCTCGTTGAGGGGCATGTAAATATGGCCATGCATTGGGTCCTTTGCATATCTAACATGGGTTCAGTCCTGTGCATATCTGACAGATTTCCAGGGAGGAGAGGGCAGCAGTACATCTAACATTATTAGCTTATTGCTGATTATGAGCAAAAGGTAAAATTACTTGAAATGGTTTTTGTTGGTGCTATGGTTAATAACAGAATTAAATGTAGGTATGCTCAATCTGTTTGTGTACAGTTAAACTATAAATAGCCTATTCTCCTGTTTAATTGGGTTAATTTCTAAAAGCTGTAGTGCTTGCCTAATGAGCGCGCGTGGGGGGGGGGAATGTTTTAAAAGTTCATTAAAGATGGGTTTTTAATTAATGTATACAAAAATTAAACATTTTTGCATATTGTTTATATAACTGGATTTTATCAAATTTAAAACAGTTAACAGTTAAAGCAAACATACAGACTTACGGTTTAACTTTTTGTTTATAAGTGACAATTTTTGCATTAAATCTGTCTTAAACAGTCTGTTTTTCTGAGTCTAAATTAAGGCTACATTTGCCATGACTGTTCATTTCTGGTAGTACCTATTGCTTTTACAGTTAGGCACCATTAGCATTGCTGTATGCATAGTAAATAAAGTGGTTTAGGAGAAAAAGAACAAAAATTGCTTTTAACTAATACGAGTGAAATTACATAGGTCCTGATCCTACAAACACTTATGCATCTGCTTAACTTTACTTCTCTGAATAGTTTCGCAATAGGACTACTCAGAGAGTAAAGTTAAGTAACTTCATAAGGGTTTGCAGGATCAGGGCCATAGTGAACAAAATACTACTGATGAATGGATATTGGAGGACTTGTTAGCTCTCTTAAGTAGTTACTGACAGTTCAGTATACTTAAACGAACTGAGGTTTGAGATTTTTCTGTGGCAGTACTGATTGTTTGGGATACTGTAAATTGTTAATGAACAAAACCCATTCCTTCTGATGTGACTCGCTGTTCAGATGTTTTTGAAATAATACCCCATTTGGAGTATGTTTCCAGTTCAATCTCAAAATGGACTACAGAAATCTAGAGAGAGTTACAGCGGTAAAATAATGTATAGACTTAATACAATTATATTTGTATTCTGAAGTCTAAAATTTTGACTTTCTAGTGTTTACTAGATCTCTGTGCCTGTGTGTAAAATGAAGATAATTGCAAATCATTACCCAAGATAGGCTTTTACTACTTTAATCAGGGTTAAATGTTGCTTGTGAGTTACGCAAAAAAGTCTGTTATGTATTACCTGTAAACAAGTTGCATAAATATTTGTTTTTATTTTTCAGATGTACTTTCAGGTTTCCCAGCACAAACATCAAGATAACATTCACAGCTCTGTCCAATGAAAAGAGAGAAAAACAGGAGTCCCCAGAGTCTCCAGTGAAACCTGTGCAACCCCAGATCTCTCCCTTAACAATAAACATTCCAGACAACATGGCTCACCTGATCAGCCCTCTCCCTTCTCCCACAGGAACTATCAGGTATTTAAAATTTGCAAAATTGCATGTAGGGTAATATATGGTTCCAGAATCAGTACAGAGATGCAGTTCATTCGATGTTGCTTTCCTTATGTAATAATGCTTAAGTTGGAGCTCAGAGTAGCCTCAGATGAGCCTTGGAGTAAAACTATAAGTGTTGTGGTTTTTTTTCAGTGGCTACCTATTCACATAAATATACAAATCTGTTACTGTCATTAAAGTCTGACTTTAAATTCACAAAAGCAATAAAATTGTGTTAGGGCTGTACTCTGAATGCATCCTTTTGTTCCTAGTATTCTAGGATGGTTAGAGCAGTGAATGAGCCCACATTTCCCAGTGGCTGAAATATTTGGACACACTAGAGTGAGTTTAAGAATTAAGCATCAATTTTAACTTACAATTTTCTTGCCATTGTTGGTCTTCATTATACCTGTGACAACACTTTAATTTAGTTTCTATTTTTATTTCCATTGTTAGTACTATTCTTAAGCAGTTGACTAAAATCTAGTTTCCTTGGTAAGCTTGTCAGCAGAAAAATATGTTTTAGCTGTTTGGCAATGCTTACTTTGAAAGCTAATGATTAAAAAAAGAGTCTCTTATTGACAAATGACTGCAGTCAGTAAACTACCTTTCTTGTTTATAGTATCTCAGTATAGCATCAGGAGAAGTATAGTGTTGAGAAATGTTTTGGTAGGTGTGGTTAATTTGGTTGGGTCTGTCAGTTTAGCTGTATTGATTAGAGACTCAGAGCCATCATTTGGCTTGTTGTTGGGTTGAAGTTCAATTGAACAAAAAGCTTAATTGCTCTTCTTGCAAACTTATAAAAGCATTTTGAATAGAATTTTCAGAAGCACCACAGTCACTTAAATATTTTTGAAAATTCCACCTTTTCCTCACAGATTCTGGTAGATATGCTTGATTCAAGGAATATAAAGCTAGTGTGTCTAATTCTGTTGATCTTCAAATTTGGATCCTGTTATGAAGTTTAAATTCAGAGGTAAATCTGTTGATACTTAACAAGAGCAGAGATCTTGATTCCAGTTTTGTGATGTTGTTTGCAAATGGTGCATTTGGAAAAAGTGATTTGATAGTATAGCAGTCTTGCATTTTTTTATTTAAACCAGGAAAAATTTATCTTCCCCAAGAAATGACTGCATTCATAAATATTTCACCATTGCTTTTTGCATTATCTCCCAAGGCTATTAAACAACTGTTAAACTATACCGTTAAAAATCAAAGCAGTTCTGAGTCTATTTGACTAGCTTGACATTTTCTTCTTTAATTCACCAAGTTGTGTGGAGGATTTCTAAACTTGCTTTGATTATATCATATATATTGCTGTGTCAATACATGGTACAGTGAGCAAAGTGTAAAGGGATACTGTCAGTTGATATGTGCAAAACTTACATAGCACAGCAATGACCAACACTTTTTAAAAAGTGCTGACCTTCTGACTCTTAACCCTCAAAACAAGGCCTGTTTCACACAACATTACTAAAATTCCATCTTCCCTGCTGGACAGTCCACTAACAGCTAACCTCAAATGTTGGAATTGTGGAGATAAGTTTCTCTTCAAGAACAGTGGTTTTGTATGTTACTCTGTCTACATGTAAGAACATAGCAGGCAGTGCAAAGGGTGTAGACAGCAAGATGTTCCTGTCTGCTTGCAAAGCAAATCTTGGCAGATACAACTTTTTGTCCCACCAGTCCAGATGGTATCCCTTAACTCTAGTTTTCCTTAAAGTCTTAAATTTTATATATTTTGATTAATTTAAAATAGTATCTTTGATTTAGAACAAGGCTAGTGGATGGGGATCTGGTAGACTTCTCAGATTCCTACTTTTATTTTCGTATATGCGTTTTTTTGATGCTTCTGAGGGCAGAATTGAATCCTGTCATTATGTAAATGTTTTGGGGGCTTATTGCATTACATGAAAATATGTAAGCAGTGAAAAGATTGTTCAATGACTGTGTCTCAAACGTAAAGGGACAAAGGAAATTCTGGAAGAATAGCTCTTTATACAGCTATGATTCGGGTGCACTATAAAAGGTGGAAAAAAACATAAACTTTCAAAAGATATGGTAGAAATTTATTTGAATTTTCGATTTATATTTTATACCTTCCCAACACTAATGAGTCTTAGCAAAATGCCAATTATCAAATTTTACCTTTGGCTACTGTTTTGTTGGTGTCCTTTCCACTTATGTCGTCATCTTCCCAACCTTTGGCCTATTCGATTATTACGTTACATGAGGATTTACAGTGTTAATACAGCTCAGTGTCTGTATATAATTCTGAATCAATTTACCTGAAATATATATATTTGATTAAATAAGAATCACCCAGAACTCTTCCTTTATTATATTTTCGGAAGCATGCTGTTTCATCCAGACACATTATTGAGTGATTCTGACTAAGCTAAAAACAAGCACGTGGTGGAAATCTCACGTAGACCTACTTTCTGAAAACTTTCAGATCAGCGGTTCAGACGAGAATCCAGAGTTTTTGGTTGTATAAGTAGACCGAACCTCCAACTAAAATGGACATATTGTCAGCAAAGCTTACATAAATACAATATAGCCTACAAAACAGTTAATCTTCTTTCTTTGAAGAGAGAGGCTGAAACCTCATTTGACAGGTTTCTTCCTGGAGTGATTTTGATTCTTACAGCGAGTTATAAATCCCATTTTCCAAGCATTTATAATGGAAATACTGACAGACCCTTAACGACAGTCTGGGAACACTAGTGAGTTTTCCTACAATTAGAGCTATTTGATTAGACAAAATGTGGTGATATACTGTATAACAAAATAGTAGGATCCTCTTTTTATATTCTACAGTGCTGCAAATTCCTGCCCATCTAGCCCGCGTGGTGCAGGCTCTTCAGGGTACAAAATGAGTCGTGTAATGCCATCTGACCTACATTTAATGGCTGACAATTCACAGTCAGAAAACGACAAGGAAGCATCGGGTGGTGATAGCCCAAAGGTAAAAGTTGCACAGAATAAAACCATAAATAAAAATAAAGCCTTGAGCCCAATGTACCAATGTTGGAAATTTGTTGTCCAAAGTATATGAACTTAGACATGATTTGGCATTTAGAAATTGAAAACAGATTGGAGCCAGAGATCTTTTGTGTTTCGATGTGCCTTGTATCTTGATTTTTTTTTTTTTTTTTAAATGTAGATCTCCATTGAAGAGTTTCATGTCTGTATTGGTTTTTAGTTACTTGCATGACCATCATTTTTTAGACATTTAGATTCATAGTCCTTGGTTAAATGTATTAGTTTCTTTTGATTTTTACTGTCATCTTAAATCCTCCTAACTGGAAGATGTAAGTTTGGTTTTAGCTTTTCTTTTGAAATCCTCAAGTCATCCAGAAGTGTTGAAAAATGAAGTTGATTTTACTGCATTTTGTAATTTTAGAAAAGAGGTATACTACTGTAAAGTTTATGGAGGCAAATGTTTTAAGGGTTCTTTTTTTTTTTTATAGGATGACTCAAAACCACCTTATTCCTATGCACAACTAATAGTACAAGCAATTACAATGGCACCTGATAAGCAGCTTACACTAAATGGAATTTATACGCACATAACTAAAAACTATCCATACTACAGAACAGCAGACAAGGGCTGGCAGGTAAATCTAGTATTTCTTTTAAAAGTCATGAATAAAAACAACTATTAGTATGATAAATGAATGATAGTAAATAAACCAAGTCAACTTGTTTTATTTATACTGGTTATATTAAGTGACCATGACAGCCCTTCAGTAGATTTTTGGTGGACTGAATGGGTCATAAATTCATATGTAATGGATTTCTAATCTTAAAATCTCTAGGTTGGCAGGAGCTTAGGTGTACTATGGCAGCATCATTCTCTAGCCTTAGTATTCCCTAGAGTTGCAATAGTGGAATTTATAGGACTTCTGTTGGAGAAAAATATAAACATAGGTAGAAATGGATTTAAATGTTTGCCATAAAAGAATGAATATTTTATTAGAATTTCTTCTTGCGTTAACATGCTTGTGTTACCTCAACAAGCCAAAATAAGATCCCAAAATCTCGGAATACAAGCTTGTTGAAAGCTGTGGTCTTGACCTTACAGCTCCTTAACTACAGGTGTACATATCTTGCTTTATCTTGCACTGTTAACTACCTCACTTTTGATTGTGCTCACACAGGTGACTAGAAAGTTCCATTTGCCCATGGTCAGTTCTATTCTAACACTAGTAATTGTTTTTTAAAATATTTTTGCATGCCTTATATAAGATATATTTCAGGATTTTGTCTAAAGTACATCTATATTTGTGTCTATTGTACTGTTGTTTTCCATAGAGACTAGTTGGCTGATACAGATCTGCATTATGGCCTCTAGTTTTAAAATTAGGTGTTAGATCGCTGCATGTTTAGATGCATAATACGTTGCAAAAACAAAATGGCAAGCACAGCACACTCCTTCTGTTTCAGAGAATTGAGTAAGAATTACACTAATGCATAACAATAGGAAAATATAATAAAATGGAGTGGCTGTTTTGGTCAGTAGTCCTATAAAATATTGCCATAATGGTAGGTAACTTACCTCATTTGTGAACAATACTCTTAGCCTTTGGCTTCAGGCAATAGATGACAATTTTGTTAACTAACCTATATGCTTCAGGCTATGTTTTAGATAATTGTTTCAATACCTAATGAGGCTATGGATATATTCATGTATATTCTAGAACTTTTTTTGAAGGCCCATCATGTTGGACTCATTCTGTCGTGTATTTTTCCTCCAATCTAGAAAAGTTGGATTTAATATTCTCTTCTAGCAGATGGAGACACAAATACAACTGATAAACTTATATTCTTCACACCACCTGCTAGTTCTGTTTGTCATTGGCAGGGGAAACAGCTTCTGTTAGCATCAGATTGCATTGAAGAAACTGTACATGGGTAACATTGCCCTAAATTCTCTAAGCCTGCTGTCAAGGTCATGAATCGCATCTGAGGCTGACCTGTGACTAGGATTGGATTTAATTTTGAGGATTTTAAAGAGCCTTGATTTGGAATGTTATGAAAATTTTCCCCAGATGTTTCAGTGCTAACATTCAGTGGATCAGAACTGGACAGTTAAAGTTAGTACAAACTTAAATGGTTGTATTTGTTTCCCTCCACTTGAGTTATCAAATTCTGAAAGGTCTCAGTGTGATGTGTGTGTATATATGAAGCATATAAAGTCAACGATAGATTTTTCCCGCTTGCATCAGAATATCAGTACCTTCATACATTTCCATCCAAGTCCTCTATGAAGTTGCAACGGATTTTAGTCTTGATGACACTACATATTGGACATATGGTAATATGCAGACCACAGCATAGTATGATGATCATTCTAGAAAACTACATTTGGACCTACTGCCATTCAGAGTTTTCCTAGGCCCACTAAATCCTTGGCCTCTATGTTGAGATTGTCAGGTAATCGATATCTTTCCCTGTTTTGGGGAAGAATAACTGGGAACTGAAGTTGCCGAAAGAATCTTCCTCCTTTTGTGTGGCTTCTGGTAAGGAAAGGTGAACTCCCAAGTATCTAGCTGTATCTGAAATTTCTTTAATAAAACCTTTCCTTTCCTTACTATGAAATAATGAGAGTATTATTGTATAAGATCAGTATCAGAATCAGTGAATATAGTATGTTTTAGCAGCCCCATGGGAACAGTTTTGACTTTCATTTGAGCAGTGGAGGAAGGTATGGTGTTTCAGGTACTACTAGTTCTTCTTTTTATCCACTGCTTTATGTCCACACAACTTTTGAAACCATGCGTTGTGACTACTATCCTTCTCATGAGAGGATTGAAATGAGATTCCCTTAGGAGCTTGTTAGCATTGTTCTTTAATTGCTGGGAGAGGTTTGAGCAATGCCAAGGCTCCCTTCCCCAGGCTTTAGTATGCTGCCTTTATAGCGCGAGCAGGCACCTGCTGCTCTAAGGAAGTAGAGACCTGAACCCCGAGTCTCCCGTACTACAGACCACTGCACTAGGCCACATTCTGACTTTTTAGAAAAAATATATATGAATTCTACATATTTTTTTATGTTCCATAGAATTCAATACGCCACAATCTCTCTCTGAATCGTTATTTCATCAAAGTACCACGTTCCCAGGAAGAACCAGGCAAAGGCTCATTCTGGAGGATAGACCCTGCCTCTGAAAGCAAATTAATAGAGCAGGCTTTTAGGAAAAGGCGGCCTAGGGGAGTACCTTGCTTTAGAACCCCTCTGGGACCACTCTCTTCTAGGTAAGGAAAAACAGATGAACAAAAAGACATTTAATTTTCAGAAGTTTACCTTAAATGTTAAATTTCCTGCTGGAAGTAAGAGAGAACAGTACTTTAAATAGTAATATGTTGGTACGGTAAGACTGAATTATAATTCTATAATAGAACCAAAAACGATCGCTGTTTTTAACCTTCAGGCTCATACAAACTAGATAGTTTTGTATACAGTACTAAAATCACAAGTTTAGTTATTTAATTTAAAACACCAGTAAAGATTACCCTCATGCACGAGGTTTGTTTTCTATTGCTTTTCTTAGTGCTAATGTACTGGCTCAGTTTACATAAGTAATTGTTAGCTTGTTAACGTAAGAAGGGCTTTCTGTACTTCAGTGTTACACAGTTACGATTTTAATTGCTAACTTTATCCCTCTCATGCCTTTAAAAATTGTGTTTAGTTTGATAATGCTTTACCAGTATTCTTAATGGTGAAATATATAGACTTAATTACTAGCTATGTAAAGACTGTGTCCCCTTTCTGCTCCTGCTGGCTTCCTTTGACTTACCCTTAGATAGAGCCGCTCATCATTCTGTCCCCCTAGAAAAAACATTTGTACTGTTGCATGGATTGCTTGGAAACACTCCATCAGAAAAAGTCCAAATGTTTCTATTCCATTAACCTTAGCCAAAGTCTGCCTTTGATTTCTCCTCTTGGTTAACAGAGGCTTTATGCAGAATCAAATCATGGATTTGGTGGGTACTTGTTTGGTAGAAGGCAAAGGGTTCCCCCTTGTGGAAAGTAGATATATTACAATATTTTTAGAAAGAAAAGGAGTACTTGTGGCACCTTAGAGACTAGTCTCTAAGGTGCCACAAGTACTCCTTTTCTTTTTGCGAATACAGACTAACACGGCTGTTACTCTGAAACCTGTCAATATTTTTAGAGGCAAGGTCACTCATCTTTCACAATTAACTTAAAACATACCAGCTGCTGCTTTCATTTTCTTAAAATACAGAAGTGCCCCAGCTTCTCCTAATCATTCTGGAGTGTTGTCTGCCCACTCCAGTGGCGTACAGACCCCAGAGAGTTTGTCAAGGGAAGGATCTCCAGTCCCAATGGAACCTGAGTCTAGTGCTATCCAGCCAAAATTAGCAGTAATACAAGAAGCACGATTTGCACAGAGTGCCCCAGGTAAGAATTTTTAAAATACTTTTTTGGTTTGGGGTGATGAGGGAAAATTTGTAAAATATGTTGCCTGAAACAGTCTTGGTGGAATTCACACCTAAATTAAGAAATCCGTAAATGTTTTCAGATAGATAATAAACTTTTAAGGCAAAGCATGGAGAAGTGCAGAAAATCAGTGTGCGAAATATTTCCTGAAAATGGCTAATACGGTCGATACATTTTCTTCCTGGTATTTATGTATGTTCATTCCGCACAGATAGATGCTTACTTTGCTGGTAAGCAGAGGCTGTACTTCTATCTCAGTTAGGAAAATAGTGGTATATCAGTGACATCTCTTCTTCTGGAAAACTGTTCTATCTTTTTGTGCAGCACAGATTCTCCATGCGCAGAACATGAATTTGGATTAAAAGCTCTATTAAGAATGGTTGGTGAAAACCAAAGTGATTTCCTGGATCAAGGGTTGCTATACTAAATTAAATGTCTGTCTTATTTACAGTACACATTTGTAGCCATTTTGCTCTTACCCAAAGCAGAGGACAAGAGAACTAGAATTGGGAAGGGTTGAGGAGTTGAATGGTGGGATATTTCTTTTGTACTGATTCATCCCCCCTAATCCCCCATATTTATCTGTGTTGTATTGGTAGTTTTATTTGTGTTCTAGCTATCAAGTTTCCTAATGATACAGTGAAGGCCTGTATAGGTCTTGTGACAGGATACATGGAGTCAGCAACAGCAGTCTGATCATTCCAACTCTACATGCTAAAATTGTAAGGTGTAATTGTAAGGTGCGATAAGAGTCTTTATTTTCCACGTTTTAGCTTTTGTAGCAACCAGTGAAAGGGAGTAGCAAGGGTTGTTGCTTTTACAAGGCTTCAGTGTGTTGGGATGATTAACTAACAGCATACTTGATTCAAACTTCCAGTCTAATTTATCTTTGTCTTTTTTGTTAGGATCACCTCTATCTAGCCAACCTGTTTTAATTACTGTACAACGGCAGCTACCACAAACTATTAAACCCGTCACCTACACTGTTGCAACTCCTGTGACAACATCAACATCCCAGCAGCCTGTAGTTCAGACAGTTCATGTTGTTCACCAGATACCAGCTGTGTCGGTCACAAATGTGACTGGATTAGCACCAGCAAACACTTACACTGTAGCTGGACAGGCAGTGGTTACACAAGCTGCAATGCTAACCCAGCCCAAGGTAGAACCTCAAGAGAATGGAGACCACAAGGAAGTAAAAGGTGAGAATTGACTGAGTTCAGTAAGTCTCATATAAATATGTGTGGTTGTCTAACACATTATTTACCTTTAAAAAATCACTTCATAGGTGCAAGTGAAAAAAACATTTGTTAAAATTAGGGCTGTTAAGCGATTAAAAAAATGAATCACACAAATAATTGCACTTCTAAACAATAATAGAATGCCATTTATTTAAATAGTTTTGGATATTTTCTACATATTCAAATATTTTGATTTCAGTTGCAACACAGAATACAAAGTGTACAGTGCTCACTTTATATTATTTTTATTACAAATATTTGCACTGTAAAAAAACAAGACAGTAATTTTCAGTTCACCTAATATAAGTACTTTAGTGCAGTCTCTTTAACATGAAAGTTGAACTTACAAATGTAGAATTATGTACAAATAAATAACTGCACTCAAAAATAAAACAATGTGAAACTTTATAGCCTACAAGTCCACTCAGTCCTACTTCTTGTTCAGCCAGTCACTCAAACAGGTTTGTTTACATTTGCAGGAGATAACGTTGACCACTTTTTGTTTACAATGTCACCTGAAGGTAAGAAATGGCACTGTTGTAGCTGGTGTCGCAAGATATTTATGTGCCAGATGCACTAAAGATTCATATGTCCCTTCATGCTTCAACCACCATTGCAGAGGACATGCATCCATGCTGATGACTGGTTCTGCTCGATAACAATCCAAAGCGGTGCGGACCAATGCACGTTCATTTTCATTATCTAACTCAGATGCCCCTAGCAGATGGTTGATTTTCTTTTTGGTGGTTTGGGTTCTGTAGTTTCTGCGTCGGAGTGTTGCTCTTTTAACTCTTCTCAAAGCATGTTCCACACCTCATTCCTTTCAGATTTTGGAAGGCACTTCACATTCTTGGTCGCGTGCTGTAGCTATCTTTAGAAATTTCACATTGGTACCTTCTTTGTGTTTTGTCAAATCTGCAGTGAAAGTGTTTTAAAATTAACAACGTGCTGGGTCATCATCTGAGACTGCTATAACATGAAATATATGGCAGAATGTGGGTAAAACAGAACAGGAGACATGCAATTCTCCCCCAAGGAGTTCAGCATCATCAGTATGGAAGCATGTTCTCTGGAATGGTGGCCAAAGCATGAAGGGACATACGAATGTTTAGCATATCTGACATGTGACTACCTTACAATGCTGGCTACAAAAGTGCCATGCGAATGCCTACTCTCACTTTCAGGTGGCATTGTAAATAATAAGCGGGCCGCATTATCTCCCGTAAATATAAACAAACTTGTTTGTCTGAGCAATTGGCTGAACATGAAGTAGGATTGAATGGATTTGCAGGTTCTAAAGTTTTAGATGGTTTTGTTTTGAGTGCACTTATGTAACAAACAAAAAATCGACATTTGTAAGTCGCATTTTCATGATAGAGAGATTGTACTACAGTACTTGTATAAGGTGAATTGAAAAATACTATTTCTTTTTCTTTATAATTTTTACAGTGAAAATATTTGTAATAAAAAATAATATAAAGTGAGCAGTGTACACTTTGTATTTAATAAATTTCAATTGGTATTCTATTGTTTAACAGTGTGGTTAAAACTGCAATTAATTGTGATTAATGTTTTTAATCACAATTAAGTTTTTCAAGTTAATCGTGGGAGTTAACTGTGATTAATTGACAGCCCTAATTAAAATAGAATGTTTGTTCCGTGCTTTTTCAGATGCTTTGAGGTTATTAGTAAGATTAATTATATTCATTGGAGGGATAAAGTAACTAAATCACTTTTTGTCATGTTTTGTTTTAAGCCGTCTTGTCTTAACATATTAAATAACTTTTGTTGTTTTCCAGTTAAAGTGGAACCTATACCTGCTATTAGCCATGCTACAATAGGAGCTGCTAGTCGTATCATTCAGACATCTCAGACCACGCCCTTACAGACAGTTACTATAGTGCAACAGGCACCTCTAGGTCAACACCAGCTACCAATAAAAACTGTAACCCAGAATGGAACGCACATAGTACCTATCACCACAGCGATACAAGGACAGGGCAACACTGGTAAGCTTTTGACCAATATTTCGTATAGCCACAAACATTTCCAGTGTAGGAACTGCCTTCAGAATGAGCAAATTTGTACAGTTTCTCAGAATGTCCATTGTAAAATCTCATTATTTAGATTCCTCCCTCTGTCCTTTGTACCCTCACTGAAAGCAACTAGAGTTGCACATACGGTTTCAGTTTGCCATCTGCAGCCTTTTTACATTTTATATATATCTATATAGATAGATAGAGAGAGAGAGAGAGAGAGTATATATAGATATACGTACGTGTGTGTGTGAGACAGACAAACAGATAGACAATTGGTGTCTCCTTTCACCGATTGTTACCAGAATAGGAATTTAATCTCTGGAATTTTTAAAGGGGCACTGTCAGGGATGACAACTCCCAAATTAAACCCAACCTAAAAATAACTTTTAAAATGTTTTTTTTAGTTCTTGAAAACTCCGTTCCTGCAAAGCAAGGGCTGCAGTACTACTAAAATGGACAACCAGTCCTCTGGGTGGTCAAGAACAAACTGGGTGCAAGGCTTCTTTGTGGGTCGGCTTTTTAGGTCATTCTTCTGCTGTACCTTTCTCCAAAGCTTGTGGAAAAAAAAATATATTAAAATTTACAGGAATTCTAAAGGATTCTTTTGAAGCTGCTTGCCTGTCTTAATACCCTCTGACGTCTCAGTTTTTGAGTAGGCAATCTGATTGGATGGCAGGACAAAGGTACATTCATATCAAATACAGCTTTTGGTTTGGTTTGATGATAAATCTAATTTCGTACCTATTTGTTTTGACAGTTTCCCTTTGAAATAAATATGCCCAAGGTGAATTAAAAAATTATGATTTAAAAAAATCTTCTGTTGATTATTTAAAGAAGATTAATCTACATGTTGCTAATTCTTTGCTTTCTTCTCAGTTTATACATGCTTGTTTCTTTAATTAAGTTTCCTAATTGTTCCTGGAATTTCAGATTTTACAAAGGAACTTCTTTCTAAGAGATTTTCCTACTTAACTTGTTCAAGTATGCTTGGAAAAGTCAAGTCCAGGCCTTTGTTAATATCATTACTATGAGAACAACACAAACGCAAACATAAAATGCAAAGATAGCACAGACTATTGGGGTTGTCAGCTGACACCTCCTTCCAATATAATGAGCTTCCACAGGTCAAGATATCTGTAATGCTTCAACAAAGCTATATTCCTCCATCAAGGTTTTCAGTCTGAAGTCAGTTAAGAGTTCTTGAAAATGCCATTCTAGGGTGTCTGGCTTTGTATTTAGGAACCTAATTTTAGGCTTCTGTCTTAAAAATATTGGCCTTTGTATAGAAAAAAAAGTTTGCAATAACTTTGTTGTTGAAAATCTGAGTAACTTTTCAATATTATCACTGAAACAGTTTTGTTTTGAAATGACAAAGATTTTGTCACTAGGAGAAGTTTTTAATAAAAGTACAGTTTTAGTCACTGATGCTATAACCATTTAGATGCATGCTTAAAGTTAAGTACATGAGTAGTTCCATTGAAGTCAGTGGGACAATTCAGGTGAGTAAAATTAGATGTGTATGTACAGTACTTGCAGAATCAGAGCCTTAATTTTCAATATTTCATTTTTTTTGTCCACAGCAATTTTGTAAAATTCAAATAGACCCCTTTCAGTAAAGGCATTTAAAAACAAAAACCACTTTATTTATAATTTATTATAAATCTAAATTTAAAATTGCCATAGCACACATTTTCAATTAGTTTTACAAAGCTTCAACCTGATTTAATCTTTGATTTAAATAATTTAAAATTGCCTTAACTTTCATCACTCCACCCTGAATTTGCCATTCAGGAACAGACGGGCAATCCATTTTTTGTCAGCATCTTATTTTTGACAGTGGCCTGTACCAGGTGCTTCAGATAAAGCTGATAAGAATCTTAATGGACGGTTCTGGAGTAACTACTCATACGGGAAGTTGTTGTGTTAACTGAAGCATTTGCTTATGCCCAGAAGCATGGGGGCTTATATCTCATAGATTTTCTCTTATTAAATGTAACTTGATGGTCATGTCCATATGACTGTCATTTTTTGAATGCTGCCTTGTCTTGTGGCTAGTAGTTTGCACAGGTTAATACCTTATTTTCTAAACAAAACAAAACATTTCCTGTTATCAGTTAAATTTTTGTTTGCCATTTAGTTTAATTGGATGTATCCTTTTGAATTACGGTAATGATTTGTTTCAGAGTAGCAGCCATGTTAGTCTGTGTTCGCAAAAAGTAAAGGAGTACTAGTGGCACCGTAGAGACAAATTTATTTGAGCATAAGCTTTTGTGAGCTACAGCTCACTTCATCAGATGCATTCAGTGGAAAATACAGTGGGGAGATTTATATACATAGAGAACATGAAACAGTGGGTGTTACCATACGCACTGTAACGAGAGTGATCACTTAAGGTGAGTTATTACCAGCAGGTAATGATTTCGACCATCTGTTTTATTTTCTCTGAACAATTTACTATGTGCCCCCTCTTATTTGTCTCCTCAGTTAAGAGTCCTAATCTTTTCAGTGTCTTGTATGGAAACCTTTCCATTTCTCTGTCGTAGTAGATCATCTTTGTGTCCCTTCTGTATCTGCTACATTTTTCTGAGATGGGATGACCAGAACTAAAAGCAGTGTTCAAGATGAGGGTATAACATCATTTTATATAATGGCATGATAGTATTCTTGATATGAGTAGGTATTTTATTGAAATACCTAGGTCCTTTTTGTGAGTGGTTTCAGTTAAAATAGAATGCTGTAATGTTTATTAGTTTAAATTATTCTGTCCAGTGTGCACTACTTCGCATATTTCCAAATTGCAATTGAACTACTATCATCACGTCCATTTGCCTTGCTTTGATAGGTCTGTCTGAAGTTGTTGTCTTTTTTTGAGTGTCCTAAATTTTGTCATTGTGACACTTCAATTTTCCCTTCATTTTCACTTTTGAAAATGGGATTTAAGTTCCTAAATCATAGGAGCTTTTGAAAATTTTACTCCAAATCCAAAGTCACCCTTTGCTCTTGTGTGCGCACTAAAACTAGTTGTTCCAAGAAGGAAATATTTATGGAATCAAGGAATTACTTCTCTAAACAGGTTTATATGCAGGTGACTGAAGTCCCCTACTGTTGCTTGTGTTTAGAATACATTACTCTCTCCATAGGAGATTTTTCATGTAGAAGCTGTCATCTTTAAAGTAAGGCTTAGACTTTTTAAACATCTGGGTTTTAAAACAGCTTTTTATATAATTACAGTGGTCTGTTTTCTTTTTTTTTCTTCCCATTTGAAGTAACTATCTTCCTTGCTGGCTATTCAGAGATCAGATTAGGAGTTAATCACAGTGCTGATTAGAGAGCAAATGATTTATGCAAAACCAAGCAAAAAAGGATATAGCAGGAATGCAGTCTTTTCACTGGGAGAAGAGACACTGAAGTATCTGCTATATCAGAAAAGTATCTTGACAGTATCGATGGTATCAAGCTGTTTGCTGGCCACATAAAATAACTGTGAACAGGCATTGTCTACTATAGTTTAGTAAGAACAGACTAATCTGACAGGTTTCAGAGTAACAGCCGTGTTAGTCTGTATTCGCAAAAAGAAAAGGAGGACTCGTGGCACCTTAGAGACTAACCAATTTATTTGAGCATAAGCTTTCTTGAGCTACAGCTCACTTCATCGGATGCATACTGTGGAAAATACAGAAGATGTTTTTATACACACAAACCATGAAAAAATGGGTGTTTATCACTATAAAAGGTTTTCTCTCCCCCCACCCTACTCTCCTGCTGGTAATAGCTTATCTAAAGTGATCACTCTCCTTACAATGTGTATGATAATCAAGGTGGGCCATTTCCAGCACAAATCCAGGGTTTAACAAGAACGTCTGAGGAACAGTGGCAATCTGAGGAACAGAGGAATCTGTTTCTTCACTTCCGCAGGTGGGTATTGTAGTTGTAAGAATGCTTGATAGAGATCTTGTAGGTGTTTGTCTCTGTCTGAGGGGTTGGAGCAAATGCGGTTGTATCGCAGAGCTTGGCTGTAGACGATGGATCGTGTGGTGTGGTCAGGGTGAAAGCTGGAGGCATGTAGGTAGGAATAGCAGTCAGTAGGTTTCTGGTATAGGGTAGTGTTTATGTGACCATCGTTTATTAGCACTGTAGTGTCCAGGAAGTGGATCTTTTGTGTGGACTGGTCCAGGCTGAGGTTGATGGTGAGATGGAAATTGTTGAAATCATGGTGGAATTCCTCAAGGGCTTCTTTTCCATGGGTCCAGATGATGATGTCATCAATATAGCGCAAGTAGAGTAGGGGTGTTAGGGGACGAGAGCTGAGGAAGTGTTGTTCTAAGTCAGCCATAAAAATGTTGGCATACTGTGGGGCCATGCAGGTACCCATAGCAGTGCCGCTGATTTGAAGGTATACATTGTCCCCAAATGTAAAACAGTTATTGGTAAGGACAAAGTCACAAAGTTCAGCCACCAGGTTAGCCGTGACATTATTGGGGATAGTGTTCTTGATGGCTTGTAGTCCATCTTTGTGTGGAATGTTGGTGTAGAGGGCTTCTACATCCATAGTGGCCAGGATGGTGCCATCAGGAAGATCACCGATGGATTGTAGTTTCCTGAGGAAGTCAGTGGTGTCTCGAAGGTAGCTGGGAGTGCTGGTAGCGTAGGGCCTGAGGAGGGAGTCTACATAGCCAGACAATCCTGCTGTCAGGGTGCCAATGCCTGAGATGATGGGGCGCCCAGAATTTCCAGGTGTATGGATCTTGGGTAGTAGATAGAATATCCCAGGTCGGGGTTCCAGGGGTGTGTCTGTGCGGATTTGATCTTGTGCTTTTTCAGGAAGTTTCTTGAGCAAATGCTGTAGTTTCTTTTAGTAACCCTCAGTGGGATCAGAGGGTAATGGCTTGTAGAAAGTGGTGTTGGAGAGCTGCCGAGCAGCCTCTTATTCATATTCCGACCTATTCATGATGACAACAGCACCTCCTTTGTCAGCCTTTTTGATTATGATGTCAGAGTTGTTTCTGAGGCTGTGGATGGCATTGTGTTCTGCACGGCTGAGGTTGTGGGGCAAGTGATGCTGCTTTTCCACAATTTCAGCTCGTGCACATTGGCGGAAGCACTCTATGTAGAAGTCCAGTCTGCTGTCTCGACCTTCAGGAGGAGTCCACCTAGAATCCTTCTTTTTGTAGTGTTGGTAGGAAGGTCTCTGTGGATTAGTATGTTGTTCAGAGGTGTGTTGGAAATATTCCTTGAGTCGGAGACGTCGAAAATAGGATTCTAGGTCACCACAGAACTGTATCATGTTTGTGGGGGTGGAGGGGCAGAAGGAGATGCCCCAAGATAGGACAGCTGCTTCTGCTGGGCTAAGAGTATATAGTTGGATAGGTTAACAATATTGCTGAGTGGGTTGAGGGATCCATTGCTATGGCCCCTTGTGGCATGTAGTAGTTTAGAAAGTTTAGTGTCCTTTTTCTTTTGTAGAGAAGCAAAGTGTGTGTTGTAAATGGCTTGTCTAGTTTTAGTAAAGTCCAGCCACGGGGAAGTTTGTGTGGAAGGTTGTTTTTTTATGAGAGTATCCATTTTTGAGAGCTCATTCTTTATCTTTCCCTGTTCGCTGTAGAGGATGTTGATCAGGTGGTTCCGCAGTTTCTTTGAGAGCGTGTAGCACAAGCTGTCAGCATAGTCTGTGTGGTATGTAGATTGTAATGGATTTTTTACCTTCAGTCCTTTTGTCCATCTGTTTGCATTTGGAAAGGAAGATGATGTCTGTCTGTATCTGTACAAGTTTTTTCATGCAGTTGATAGATTTCCACTCCATACGGCTAAATGCAGTGCCTTGCATAATGACAGGTTTCAGAGTAACAACCGTGTTAGTCTGTATTCGCAAAAAGAAAAGGAGTACTTGTCTGAGATCCATAAAGGAAGTTTAAAATCAGAGTATCTATCTGAAATGCATGTTTCTGTTATTGGAATGAACAAGTGGCTTTTAACTCTTTTTAATAAAGTGTTAATGAAATCTTGTCTAGTCTGCAAACCAAATTTCCTATAGACACTCATCTCTATTTCATTTTCATTTTCCATTACAACCATTAATGTCTTTCCTGAATGGGTAAAAGCAAAATCAGTCTTTGCACAATCTTCTGTTCATTTAAATTAGTGTTGCAGGATGTTAAACTGATCTTGACTAAAATACTGACGCTGATACTCCAGATGCTGGTGATTCAGTCACTATATACAGAAATTGATTTTACAAACCATGGTGCTGCATATATTGTCTAGCTGCCTTTTCAAGGTGATGCTGAAATTTATTTTCCTTTGCCCATTAATTTATTCTGATTGGGAGCTGGATTTTTCTGCTGCAGGAAACATTGCCCTTAAATTCTTTATCCTATTTTTGGCCAAATAATTATTTTTGTTGTACATTGCCCCCATTCCTGGCCATTGGGTTCATTGATTATTGTGGTGTAAACACCAAAGAATATGAGCTGCTTTCTAAAAATCTACATTTTATCATCTTTATAATGTCATCCTTTTTATGTGAGACATATTTACAAGGATCAGAGGTGTATTGTGTCTATAAAATTAGAGAGGTTTGTGTACTTTTCAGTCACATATTTACTCCCCCCAACTGAAATTTTATTTTCACCAGAGCTGTGAGAGTGCCGAAAGGAAGCTCTTGTATGTAGCCTGATGGTGTCCTTGTTAAATTCAAAGTTATCATCTGTCATTTCCAAGTCCTCGGATATTTTATTGTCTCACATAATAATTAGTATTTTAGTAGTATTTGCAGTGGACGTTATACAGTACTACTAGGACCTGTGATTTTTTCCTAAATGCTGAGTAGTAGAGCGGGACAACTGCTTTGGTAGAGAGCTTCTTAGGACCTTGGCTCCTTTCTGGCCACATGACTTCAGATGCAGTTTATATACCGCTCCTAGGACAGCTAGGTCTCTCTTCTGTCCCTTTTATTCCTATATTCCAACAGGAAATACAATATAATGTGTAACAGTTGGGGGTTACTCAAGTACAGCTACCACCAACCTAAACACTAAAACTTAAGAAACGCTGGATTAGTCAAACACACTACACAGCAACAGTTCAGCCACTTACAGAATCCTCAGTCTTCAGCGGGCCCCACTCAGTACTCATACATCATGCAACAGAGCAAAATCTCCACCAAAATAACTTTGGGGCACGAACAGTCAGATATCAGCTATGTAGCTTTCAGACCACAGTAACTTACGCTGGGAACCAAAGGTGGCCTCAGGATTTGGGAGAAGCAAAGGTGACTTAAAGCTATCTTCCCTTGATACTTCGCTGAGCTCAGCTCGGCCAGGTCAACAAATCTGGTCCTTTAAATCTAAAAATTGAACGAAAAAACTTTGAGAGGAAAACTGCTTCTGTAAATTTTCCATCTGTGCCTTGCTCTCTTAAACATGCCTAATTAGAAATGAATGAAAGCTTGAAAAGCGACTGTGGTGGATGTGGTGCATGAGATTCATACTATTTAATCTCTGCAAATAATGAGTAATAAAAATACAACCAAACCTGGCAAGAGTCCAGCAACATAACATTCCTGTCTTCACTGTGCCAAATTGAGTGTGTATGTGCACACATTTCTATAAACGTTAGTTGTTTTTAAAAAGCACGATACACACATTTCATTTTTTCAGATGGTGCAGAATACCTTGCTAAATTTCTTTTATGTAGCATTAACTGTTCACTGTGCTAAACTGTAGCAATGCACTTAAATGTATATTAATCAGCTACACCCTAATTTAGCTATACAGGACTGTGGAACTTTGCTATGTAGAAGATCCTGCTTTCAAAAGAGAAGTCAGCAATATGATGAAAGGTTTTGTACTACAGTGCATCAGTGTTTTATTTGCTGTATACATTACACTGTTGCATACAAAAACTATGCTTAAAAAATGAAGGTGGCAAAGGCAAGCACACAAGTTAGGTAATGCTGAAATTAAGGTTGCCCATGCAACCTCAGTTTAGCCTCCATATGCATTATGATACAGTCTTTAATTACATGATCACATACTACTTTTTCTACAGGACCCCTGCCTCATTCAGTGCTTACTGAATGAACAGCCACTCAATAGTTCGTTTTATCCTTCTTGTTCAGTGTGTGGCCAGCATTGCATTATTTGTTCACCATTCAAACCCTGCTCTCAGAACAGTGAGTTTTGTTGTTTGGTTTTGATTTTGTAAATGTTTTTTTCTAGAAATTCCAGATTCTGTTCATCTTGTTTACATCAGTATATTGGGGAAATCTGCAAATGCAGTGCAGAGTGAAGTTTTAAAATACATTTAAAACCATAACTTCAGCATAATATGCTAGTAGTCCCTTGTTGCCAAAGGAAGTAATGGGGAATAACTAGAGAGCACTTCCCAGCTGTGCCAGAGACTCCATGTGTGATGCTGGGTTAAGTCACTTAATCTCTCTGTGCCTTAGTTCCCTGGCCACAGAGTGAAGATGCTTCCTTTCTGCCACCCTTTTTCTTGACTATTTAAATGGTAAGTTCTTCAAGGGCAGGGATTCTTACGTTTGTACAGTGACTAGAAGAATGTGCCCTGAATCCAGATTGGGGCCTCTAATGCGCTGCTGTAAAACAAATAATAGAGGAATTCATAATGTTTAATTAGAGTTTGACTCTTGTATTGTCTGTTTCAAAATTAATTTGGAATCTGAAGTTTTTCATTATCATTCTTACAGCTGCTGCAAGTCCTTTGCATATGTTAGCAACCCATGCATCCGCATCAGCATCTCTTCCAACAAAACGCCAGAATGGAGACCAGTCAGAACAACAGGAACTTAAACGTATCAAAACAGAGGATGGAGAAAGCATAGTCATAGCTGTTAATGTGGACACCCCATCTGTTGCAGTGAGTGATCAAGGCAGCCAGAACTAGAAGCTTAGTGGAGTTTTCTTTTTTCTTTTTCTTGGGGGAAAAAAAAAAAATCAACTCCATGGTGCCAAAAGGAGACACTTAAATATAACACCTAAAACATTGGAACATGTTCTCACGCAGTGGGGAAAGGGGCCCTGTGATCAGACTTCAACTTTCAGCACTGAAAAAACAACACAGGTGGCCTTAAAACTCAATAATTTAAAAAAATCAAACTGCAAAACATCTTGTTCCAGAGGCTGTGACCCTGCTCCTCCCCACCCCCTACTGAACTAACTCTGTGTACACTGAGGAGAAATCCAGTGTTGGGGAGGTCCGCAGCTTTATAAAATCTTTATTGGATTATTTTAAGGACTGAGTATCTCAGTGTAATGGCAGCATGATAAGCGCTTAGTGTGAACTGGTTTCAAACGATTGTATATTCCTTAAAGGGAACAGAGGCAAGGAGCCATTTCCTACATCTTGGCAGCTAGCCTTTCATAATGACCTACCCAATGCAGTTGTTGGTAGATATGCAGTATTTTGTTGTTCACATGTGGAATTAGAAATTTTTGAGGTGTATTTTCATTTCTTTGCAAAATAATGGGGTCTTCGACATTTCAAATCACTCCATTTCTACTCCGGAAACTTTGGAATCACACAATACTTTTCATGTGAAATTTTGTTTCGTAAAAAACTGAATGTAGGGTTTTTTTAACCAATGGAATGATTTACTTTTGTCTGTTCTGTTAAAGTTCAGATAAAGCTACTTTATTACATCTGCAAATTTTCATATTTTAGCAGTTGCCTGATAAATTTAATCAAATTTTATTACCATGTGTAGTGATCAAATGCTTCTTCGGGCTTGCATGTAACTGATTAGAAATTACAATGTAAATGAGCCGTTAACTGACGTAAAGAACTGCTATGAATTTGACCAGAGCTGCACTTACCTGTTTCTCTTTCTTGCTACCTTTTGCTGTTTGTTACTTTGTGTTGACTTTGACTGTCCCTGGTATATTTTTCCAGTCGAAAGTAAAACAAGAGTCTCGCTTAATATTGTGTATGTTTAAGATAACAGACTGTTCTTCATTTAGAAAAGATAAAATTCTTTATCACAAGTCCTTTTAAAAAGAGAGTAAAAAATTATCTTGTCAGAGGTATATTCAGTATTTTTAAGCTTAAGCACCCATCTGTAGAAATTAATCTGACCAGTTTATCCATAAAACTTTCGATGTCATACACTGACCCTCTGGGGTCTCCATTAAGAGTAGCTGTTGTGGTTTTCTAACAGTGGCTACCATATTATTATAATAAAAGTTTGTTTTTTTTTAAAGTGTGTGTTCTGCGGTTGAACAGTTTAAAATGTATTGGTAATTATTCACTTTAATTGTGGTAATAGATTCCACCTTACATTTCCAAATTAAACTAAAAGTTTAGGTGGCTGTTCAGTCTTTAATTCACATAATGTCTTGTTCCTTCATACAGCGAGGTGAGTGAAGGCTGGAGAGTGGGTTTAAACTTTGAATTCCAGTTTGTTACTTTCTGTTATTATGCCATTATTTATATAAATATTTGTTTTCCATTTCAAAAAGAAAAATCTGTATTTTCATGATGGACTGAAATGGCTTATATTTAGGCAGCTTTAGGAAACTCTATATACCTGAAGACCAAATTGAGAAATCTGTACTATCATGTTAATCCACAAAATGGAGCTGTTACAATGTCAATGCAGATAATACATATTAAAAATTATGAAAAATACTGTACACTAGCTGAGTTTATAAGAGGCATTTTTAAAAAATCCATGATGTAAAACTCCAGAATGTTACTCAAAGTGTTAATGGGAGTTTTAAAAAAATGTAGAACAATAAGCGTCCCTCGATAGTAATCTGGTTTTTGTTATCGGACACTTCATAATTTATACACAGCCATGTAGATTTAATTTAAAATCAAGGCAGTAGTTGGATATAAACCTACTGATTAGAACTTGGTTTATATTCAGAAGTGAGTCTGTTCACAACTAGAAATGAGTGAATGAGTGAAATCTTTTTAATAAATGTTAAATTATTCAAAATATGTCACTAAATTAAGTCTAACAGTTACTCAACAAGTGTGTTTATGAAGCGTTCACTTAGGTGTGCTGCTTGTCAGAGTTTATACTGGCCGTGCCAATATAGTTGCTAATAGCAGAGCAAGTGGTGACTTGGTCCTGAATGTTTAAGCAGACAAAGGCTGTGCTGGCATACTCTTCCTGATCCCACGAGTATGGAACAGATTTGGCACTAACTCTCTCATACCCTGAAGGTTCTGCAAATGGAAATTTGGTAGCAGATCTTGACTAAAACCAATTTTAGCCACCTGGAGTTTGTCACAGGAATTTGCCTTCATTAAAGGAGATAAATCCTGTGCATGAACACTGTGGGATATATTTTTCTTTTAATGTGTGGGTTTCCAAGCAGTCTTTAAAAATACTCAAGTACAAAAATGCATAACCTCTTCCACGGATGCAGTACAGGATTTAACTACTTAAAATTCATTCGTAAATGAATTGACAATGTCAGGTTATTTTTAAATCAAACTGTTCCTTTGGTAGTTCAATATATTATACTCTGCTTAATGTCAAACACATTTGGTGGTAGAACTGAGTCAGAGTAGAATCTCACAGCCACCTTGCTTTGGCTTTGACTGACCAAAAACTTGCCCAAATGTGCCATAAATATGGGGGTTTGGCCTCCGTCTAATAGTGATTGGTCTTTGATCCAGTTGCCTCTTATGACTGTGATGTACTGTATTATGCTAACTACCTTCCCTTGGATTCCTTCCAGTGTCCATCTCTCCTTTTTAACCCTGCTTTTACGAAAAAGGCTGTGAAAGTGTCTAATATAAGCAACCCAGCTTGTAGTACTCTAAATGGGATTTGACCAAAGCATTTTATAACTTCACGCCTTATTTAGAGCTTGTTTACAATTGGCTCTAACTTTGCTGATTCAAATATGGAAGATTAAAGTGTTCACTAGCACCCAGTGCTAGTCTGTGTCTTGCTCTTATTCTGACTTCCCTGTGAGATGAGACTCTTTATGGCAATGTCTCCAAAACCCCACCTCTCCAAGGAGAAGACTAGCTTTTATGAAATTGGGGTGGAGTGGGTGGTGGCACTCACTCCAGACAGCAAGACTTTAACCGAAGCCCCTGGGAGATAGGATCCTCTTTTAGACCTTGAACAAGAATATTCTCAGGCCTCTCCTCGTGCGGGCCACATTCAGAGCCCAATACAACCAGAAAGGACTGCTGCTACAGTGGGACAAAACACTCATTTTTTTTCTAGTAAGTGAAGTTATCTGAATGTTGAGCCCTCACACAGATTTTTGTCTGTTTGTCACTTTGCATAAATGCACAACAGTTTACTATTACACTGTTCTTGATTTCACTGATTTAGGTACAGCAGCCTGTACTAACCACAAGGATATCTGTGAAAGTGCTTGGGTGAGTAAATCACTTTCCAGTTTAGATTACTAGACAGAAGAGAAAATAGGGATGAGAGATTTTTTTCAATTTTCATTGTTTTTGTTCCAGAGTGAAATGATTTAAATCACCAATTTTAATCCTGATTAAAATCAGAAAGTAGGAAGTCTTGATTTAAGTATCAGTTTTGTACTTCAGTCATTTTTCTAGAGATGTTGATTCTCATTGGATGTTAACCATTAAACATGTAGATTTGCAACTAAACACATTCTTCACACTAAATTTGGTACTACTTTTTGCTCACCAAGAAGATAAAGTATATTTATACAAACAATTATATAGCTTAACATACATTTATTCAGATTTTTTATTGTTCCAAAATGGTGAATGATGCATTTATTTAGTAGATTAATTTTTTACTTGTGATTTGTGTCAGTCTGCAAATGGATGGAAGTTGGAATTCAATCAAAAATGCACATAAACAGCAACTTCAAATTGTTTTTATTAAGTAAACCTACCTTAAATGTGCTGGACACAAAAGGGGAAACAGGGTTACCAAAAACCTTTTGAATTTGTGTAGTGAGTGAATTGAACTGATTTGTTTCTGGTAGTCATGTCTTGGATATTTATCTCATTTTTATTCATAAATTGGAAGAAAAAAACAAGCTTTCCTTCTGCTTTAACTTACAGCTGCTTGCTTAGTTTTGAATGAACTAGTCATTGAACTGAAATGAAAACATTCTGAACCTGCAGAAGATGATACTGCTATCGAAAACCAGATTAGTGTTTCAGCAACCTGATTCTGGGTGTTGGTCAGTTTCATCCAGCAGTTTGGCTTTCTTTAATTTAGAGTTCAATAGATTACAGTAAATCTAGGCCTTAATATAAATTGCTATAATTTTAAATTTATTTCTAAAATCTAAATCAGATTAGTATGATCTCCCCTGGTTGGTTCATTGATTGGAGGTGCAGGGACAATATTTATTTCCTTTCATTCTTGTGCTGAAACTGTAAGAAAAACAGTAGTATTCAAAGCATCGCAGTTGAAGAAGAGTGTGGGAAACCTTGTTACCTTCTCATTTTGAAAGGAGACCTATTGGAAATGTGAGTACCCACTTGGAAGAAAATTAATTCTTACTGATCCTTTTATGGTGTGACTCTTGCTGTTAGCAAATGTGTAGAAATTTCACTGAAGAAATTGAATTGGGAACTCCCTGTCACTGTATTTATTGTACTGGCTAACAATTTTTCTTTTCAGGATTTTGGACTGTCTTGTAGATGTTAAGATGGTGTCAGAGCATTTCCTGTTCTCTGAAGTTGTAATGGGTCTGCAATGTCTTCTGGATTAAGAGTATACATGTGCTTTTGATCAGCAATAGATTAACATCTGTGGGTCTTGCCAACACTATGGCAACCAATACATAACCTCCTCATCAAGTCAAGAAGGCCCCCTTATCTATTATCAGCTTTATGAGCTAGCTATATTTCTGGGAGAATTCTGCACTTCTCTGTGTGCACATAATTAATGAGCCCCATAGATTTTTTTTTTTTTGGTGCAGAAAAAAGCTGAACTGTTGCTGCAGTTTTGCCTTTTTCCCACTAGAGGGTGCTGTGGTGCAAGAGCAGCAGCAGCTCCCAGCAGACAATAAGTTTTGCAGTTCCACTTTTGCCCACCAGAGGGTGCTGTGGGGATAGAACAAAGCTGCAGCTCCTGGCCACTTCTTCAGGGTGCCTGTTAGGCCAGGTCAGGAGACAGACAGTGTGGAGCTGCTGGGGGGTTTAGATGGGCTCATAGGGGAGGACAGACTTGGGCAGGGGCTAAATGGGAGTGGAGGCACAGGTCCACATGGTGATGAGGGAGGTGTAGAGTTACATAGGGATGGGGGTGGTTGAGTAGGGACACAGACACATGGGGAGGGGGTACCAGGCCCCAGGAGGCAGAGAGACATAAGGGTGCAGGAATACATTGGGACAGGGGCAGATGTGCCTGACTGAATGGGAGGCAAGGGGTCAGCCACGGTCTGCATGGGGGAAGCTCCCTAACACTCCCTCCCTGCACCTAAAAAAACCAAACTGTTCCATATCCCTGATACCCAACAACCTTCCAAGTTTACACCCAGTCTCCATCCCAGCAATTTACTTCCCTCTCCCTCAGCTCCTCTGTTACCCCCAAGCCTTTGCACTGCTTCTGAGGGGTGTGGGGAATATGGTTCTGTAGTGTAGCTTAAATTAATTATTAGAGTTCTGTATTAATATGCTTAGTAAGGAATCTATTTGTCAAAAAACATTTCCTGAATCTTGTCTGTATTGTTACAGATATGCTTGTTGACAGGTATTTTGAAATAAATGACCAAAATAATTGAAACTGGTGTGATTATAGTGTTGTTTTGACAAATAAAATATGCAGAATTTTGAATTCTTTAGCACAGAGTTCCACCAGGAGTATAGCTGCTTTTTAATTAAGACAACTGGCTCTACTATCTTTTAAAGATTAAATGCTATTTAGATCTATTAGTTATTGTAAAGTAACAACCTCAAACCTTTCAAAATCTTAAATTTAAACCTTGGATTTTTAACCTGTAGTGAGTAGACCTATTAACTGGTAATGGAAAGGTGTGAGCGTGTTGGACACTCAATGACTTTAGTAATAGGGCCCAGGATATGAAGTAAAGATATACTGCATCATCTCCTTACCCCCATCTACAAGGCTTGTTTCCCTATCAAAGAAAGCTATTTGGGTGGTTTGACATGATTTCTTCTTGACAAATCCATGCTGACTGTTACTTATCACCTTCTAAGTATTTGCAAATTGATTGCTTAAATTGTTTGCTCCATTATCTCTCCAGGTACTGAAGTTAAGCTGCCTGGCCTGTCATGCCCTTCTTCCATGACTTTTCAAAGAATCTCCTCAGTCAGTATTCTAGGATGTATTTCAGCAAGCCCTGATGGCTTGAAGACCTCTAACTTGTCTGAGTAATTTTTAACTCCTATTTTAACCTGACTACCTCGTTTTTGCTGACATTCACTAAATTAGATGTTCACTTGCTACTGAACTTTTTGGTGAGAACTGAAACAAAAAAAAGTCTTAGGACTTTTGCCACTTCCATAGTTTGATACTCTTTCTCCCCCCTGACTGTAACAAGTCTACCCCTCCCCTTTTGCTTAATGTATTTGTAGAATTTTTTTTGTCACACTTTGTCTCTAGCTAGTTTAGTCTCATTTAGTGCCTTGGCCATCCTAATTTTATCCCTTTAGAGTTTATAGTCCTCCTTTGTAATTTGATCTAGTTTCTACTTTTTGTAGGGCTTATTTGAGTTTCAGCTCATTAAAAGTCTCCTAGCTAAGCCAAAGTGGTCTGCCATGCTTTCTATCTTTCCTATGCAGTGGGATGGTATGCCCTTATGTCTCTGAAAACTGTCAACTCTGTTGAACTGTTTTTCCCCTTAGATTTATTTCTAATGGGATCTTACCTACCAACTCCCTGCATTTGCTAAGCCGCCTTGAAATTGTTTTTATTGTGCAGTTTTCCCTCTTATTCCTTAGAATCATGAATTCTATCATTTCATGATCACTTGCAAATTTTGATTGTCCAAATCAAATCTAGAACAGCCTCTCCACCTTCTGAAAAAAATTCTCTAATACATTCCAAGAATGTGTTTGATGCTCTGTGTTTTCCCAACAGATATCTGGGTAGCTGAAATCTCCCATCATGACCATGGCTTTGGCTGGATTTAGTTATTTAAAAAAAGCCTCATCCACCTCCTCCTCTTGGTTAGATGGTCTGTAATAGACCCCTACCATAACATCCCTGTTGGGTTTTTTTTAATCCCTTTTACCTTACCAGAGACTTTGTACAAGTCCAAGTGTATACAGCTTTTGATCTGTAAGAGAACACTTTTTCCCTTCTATCACACCAAGTCTGGGACGCCAGCTATGCCTAGTTGTTTATTAACTAGCATTTCACATTCTTGCTTCTTCCTCATACTTAGATACCCACATTCTCTTATCCCTGCTATGATTCTGACCCTGTTCTGCATATTTTTCCCCACTTACCTGTGGTCTTATCTCTTGCCCTCAAACCTAGTTTAAAGCCCCCCTTGCTTGGTTAGCAAGTCTGTATTCAAATATGCTCTTCCCTGTCTTTGATAGCTGGACCTCATCTCTGCTTAGCAGTCCTCCTTCCTGGAACAGCATCCCCTGGTCAAGGAAACCAAAGCCATGCTCACACCCCCAGCTTGACATTCACCTCTATGATGCATCTGTTTCTGCATGGGCTCCTACTTTTGTCTAGAAGGATTGAAGAGACCACCACCTGTGTCCCCAGCTCCTTTACCCTTACTCCCAGAGACCTGTAGTCATGTCTGATCTGCTCAGGGTCATACTTTGCAGTATCATTAGTGCCCACATGGATGAGTAGAATAGGGAGTAGGCAGAGGGCCAGATAATCCTCAATCCTATGGGGAGTGGATGTTAGAGCCTGTTCCTCAGTTTTGTTTTAATATGAAGTACTTTTGGCTAAGTTTCAGATCTTACACTCAGACTCAAAGTTTACCATTTTTATCCCTAGACCCTTTATTAAAAAGGGGACATCAGCTATTCTTGAGAATTGAGACTTTATAAGGCAGTTTTCCTATAATATACTGTCCATCCTAAAGGAAGTGGTCTAACATTGCTGTTAAAGGGGTGTGTATAAAAAAGTTAATCCAGTGCTTACCTTAAATGAATACAGCAAAATTAGTCATTTATTTAAAAAGAAACATTACAAATAAGTGTGCAAAACAAATGATTAAATACACGTAAAAGCAACATGCAAACTTGACCACACAATCTGCATAAAAGTTAGTCCTTGGTCCATTTTATCAGATGCTAAAGAAACCTGCCAAAAATTTAATTTGCAGCTAAATAATCTTGAGTGAACTAGAACTTCAACTTTGAAGCATCTGTGAAATTAAAGCTGAGGCATTGTATGAATATGCCTCATGTAATTAGTGCTAGGAATAGAGAACTTGTGTTCTATTTCACTTTTTTTTTAGAAAACGGTATATGCCTTATTTCCAAAATCAAGGCTACAGAGTTGTCCAAATAGTTGCGGGGGGGTGGGGGGGGAAGCTGGATGCAAGTCAGTTGATAGCTGTTTGATTTGACCTAACTGCACCTAAGCAAACACCATTCAATATGCAACACTTCAAAAAATGCTTTGCAGATTTAGAGTCATCACAAGGTAGTGTACTTCACATCACCAACTTTAAACTGTGTATTAAGTGGCCTGTAAAGTCTCCTGGTTGAAGCCCAGAGAGTTGGTATTTTAGAAGCAACCCAATGCAACTGTTAAACCAACTTAAATTTTTAGCTGGAATGGATGTGTTTCATTATAGAAGCAGCAGCATCCCCTTCAAACATGAACTTCATTTGTCATAGTATCCTATGCAATTTACTTCATATGCTGAGTAGTGGTTAACCACATCAGCAGTACCTAACTGTGCCTGTGTGTCTAATATATATAGTTTGGCACCACTGAAAATTACCGTAGTGCTGATAGTTAATTCAACTTAACCAAGAACATCAGTGTATACATGACTGACTATCAATCTGTGGCCACAAGACAACTGCACCACACTCCAGGCCAGAGGGCAAGTGCAGTTCAGATTGGGTTTATTATAGCCACCTGTGTCATCTCTTCCCTTCTGCATGTTAAGGTGTATGAAAAGGGAAATAAATCCCTCCTGTTCTAAGGCAAGCTGCTGGTATAACTAACCTAGTTACCTAGTATTTACAGTTATTTCCTGCCCCCACAGAGAGGTTCAGTGGAAGTGATGTAATATGGTGCCTGAAATAAATCCACCTCCTTCCCTGAAGTTTGTACAAAACACCTCAGGTATGTGGCAGGCACTCATCTGCACTCAATTTCACAGTTTAACACCACTTCTTGAAGAGCTGACAGAACCCCCGTTATTTCCCCCTTCTAATATTGAAAAAAAATAGCATGAGTTTAACATAGGTAGAAATCCTCTACATCAGAGCTTGTTCTGCTCATGTTGGGCCAGGCTTCTCAATGAGGTCTGTTACACATCTTGATCAGTATTGGACATACATACCCAGTCCTTCTAAAGAAGCAGAATAACCAAGGCAGTACTTTGACCAAAACACTTTCTTCCTCAGTTTAGTCAAAGCTTGTCATCTGTCATTTCTAGAAACTGAGCATAGACATCCCTTGAACATTCCCCTTTTTGGTTGAATAAGAATTTGTAGTAGCTACCATCTGCACATATTGCTGAAACAAAAAAACCAAAGACATTTTGTTTTACAGCCTAAAAAAGCAATATCTCCAGCACATTTCTTCAGTGTGCACCTTTTTGGAAACTCACTGTTCTCAACCCAATAGGACACCTTGTTGAGCATTAGTTTGGCTGGTAGCCTGGAGAAAAGTTACTGTCTACAAGACAGTAAGGCAACTCCCATCTTTTCATGTACTATGTATATATACCTGCTACTGTATTTTACACTCCATGCATCTGATGAAGTGGGTCTTAGCCCACAAAAGCTTATGCCCACATAAATTTGTTAGTCTCTAAGATGCTAGAAGGACTCCGTTGTTTTTGTCTACAAGATTTTGTCCTAAGCATCAGTGCAAGGAGTTTTTTGCTGTTTGCTCAAAGCCCACATTATTGGTCACACACCCTAGTTCAGAAGTGGGCAAACTACAGCCCACCAGCCGTTCTAATCCAGCCCTCTAGCTCCCTCTGGGCAGCAGGGTCTGGAGCTTGCCCCACTCTGGCGCTCCAGCGGGAGTGTAGGGTCAGGGCCAAACTCTGTGGCTCCTGGAAGCTGCAGCATGTCATCCCTCCAGCTCCTACATGTAGGGGCAGCCAGGGGGCTCCACACACTGCCCCCATCAGCCAGAAACTGCAGTCAATAGGAGTTGAGGGGGCAGCGCCTAGTGGAGGCCCCTGGCCACAGCTCCGCCTAGGAGCCAGAGAGAGGACATGCTGCTGCTTTCAGGAGCTGCTGGAGGTAAGTCTTGCCCAGAGCATGCACCCCTAAGCCACCCCTCCTTGCCCCAAGCCCCAGCCTGATCCCCCACCCCCAATTTTGCAAGCATTCAGGGCCCACCATACAATTTCTATACCCAGATGTGGCCTCAGACCAAAAAGTTTGCCTACCCCTGCCCTAGTTCTTGTTAGCACAGATCCTATGCAAGCCTGAAGGCCTGACCCACCATGAAGGTTTGCTTGCTCACTTTTCCAGACAGCACTGTCAAAGCTGTCACCATGATCCCTCCCTCAAACTGAGGGGCTCTAATGTCTTAGCCAGTCATCCTTTACAGTATTTAAATAAAATAAATTTATCAGAGCAAAAAAAAAATAACCTTGTCACTTGTGGAAGAGCTTACCAGGGCTTGCTTTTCAAACAGAACCCTTGGGGAAGTTCAGACAACTTACCTATGACAGCATTTGGCTCTGTTCCAAAGGCACAAATGCATGGAGAGCCTGAGGGAACCTGAAATTTAGAAAAGCTCCATTTGGAACTGAAGTATTTGGGGAGGAAGCTGGCTGAGGCCAAACTGAAAAGAAAAAAAATGTACATAAAAGATCCACCACAATGATTCTGATGCCACTTCCTTGATTGTTATGGTAAGATCCAAAACAGGAATACCAGAAACACCATGAGGTCCACTAGGGACTCCACTAGTGCTATATAGATTCTATGGAAAGCACTCACATATTTGTATTTGTTAGGTGGCAGTATAAAACCCATACACTACATAGCAATGATTAATCTTCAAGAGTAAGATACGAAACCCAAGATATCTAAGTTTTTGCCTCATTAAATGCTACTATGGAAAAAAATAACTTCATTTTGAAATAACTTGGGGGAGGGAAACAGTCTTGCTAGCATGTGTTTAATACCAAAAATTAAAACCCAAACAATCTCAAACCAATAGGCTAGAGAATGGATGAAAGCCTACCTAGACTGCTTGTTCCTTTTGGGGTCTTCTGCTGCAAAAATATGCACTGTACCATGGTCACTTGATACACAAATTAGGGAAGCATCCTGATTGAAGTTAATGCTGTAGACACAAATAATTGCAACATATTTTTATTTAGCCTTCATATACCATAGTAGTTTGATTTGTAAGGTGTACATGTATTGCATTTAACCTAGAGTTAGTCAGATAGAAAAAGGAGACAAACACTAATTAGACCTGCACACACAACCTGAATTTAAAAAGGCACAAAATGTGGTTAGGCTAGGCACCTTGTGCCTTTGCACAAAGAACCACAGGGAAGTTTTTTTTTTCCAATCTCAGCACAAAAAGATACCAGACGCATCAAAAGATAGAGGAAGTACATTACTTCAAAAGGGGGAAACAATTTTAAGCTTACCAGTAGATATTAGCTGCTTGCGAACCTCTTCGTAACTCCTGGATTAAATGCCCCGATGAAGTATCAAATATTCTTATGAGAGTCCCCTGGAAAAGTAATGAAACATTTTATTAGTAAAGAAGGAAGAAGTCTAACTATCCTATATTCATAAAAAGGATTACAAGCACATCCCATGCAATCCAACATTCAGAAACACTAGTATCTTGCTAAAAGAAAAGGAGTACTAGTGGCACCTTAGAGACTAACCAATTTATTTGAGCATAAACTTTCGTGAGTTAGTCTCTACGATGCCACAAGTACTCCTTTTCTTTTTGCGAATACAGACTAATACAGCTGCTACTCTGAAACCTAGTATCTTGCGAAGAGGATCAAATCCTAATTGACTTGTGTGTGGATTACTTTTATCCCATTATGAACCAGGAGGATCCCTCAATAAGGTTATGCTTAAGATTTGAAAGTACTGGAGTCTTCTGTTCACACCACTGGTGTCTACTTTTTTGACCAATGTCAGAAAAACTATTTAGTAATGTACAGATGACCAGCTGTAACGTTCTGAAATGTTACTGGAGTCCTGATATTGGTTTACTGGAACGTGTTTCCAAGAAGCTGGGCAAACATTCCAATCATCCATTTCTCACATTCAGAACTCAACTTCCTCAGTCATACTCTGCATATTTCTCAGTTAAACCAAGACCAAACAGCATAAAGCAGGAAAATCCAAAGTTTAGTTTGTGTTGGAATCTTCTGGAAGGATTCCCTAAGTACTGTTGTCCAAGCGAATATTTCTCACACCACCTAGCATCAGGCAATCCCCATTGCAAAGCATTATCCCATTTCAGTAAACCAAGCCATTCAAGAGAGACCCAATAAGAAAGTCAAACTGCACTCCCTCAGAATACCACATTCATGTCAAACCAACCTGATAGCTTTCTTTGACAGGGTAACAAGCCTTGTGGTCAGGGGGAAGCAGCAAATGTGCTATATTTTGAATTTAGTAAAGTTTTTGATACTGTCTCACATGACCTCATAAACTAGGAAAATACAACCTAGATGGAGCTACTATAAGGTGGGTGCATATCTGGTTGAAAAACTGTTCCCAGAGAATAGTTATCAATGGTTCACAGTCAAGCTGGAAGGGCATATCAAGTGGGGTCCCACAGGGATCTATTATGGATCCAGTGCTGTTCAATATCATCATTAGTGATTTAGATAATGGTATAGAGAGTACACTTAAAGTTTGTGGACGATACCAAGCTGAAAGGGGTTGCAAAGTGCTTTGGAGGAGAAGATTAAAATTCAAAATGATCTGGACAAACTGGAGAAATGGTCTGAAGGAAATAGAATGAAATTCAGTAAGGACAAGCACAAAGCACTCCACTTAGGAAGGAGCAAATCAGTTGCATGCATACAAAATGGAAAATGACTGCCTAGGAAGGAGAACTACAGAAAGGGGTGTGGGGGTCATGTGGATCACAAGCTAAATATGAGTCAGTATAACACTGTTTAAAATAAAACCCCACCATCATTCTGGGATGTATCAGCAGGAACATTGTAAGCAAGACATGAGAAAAAAATTCTTCCACTCTGTGCTGATTAGGCCTCAACTGGAATATGTGGCCAGTTCTGGGCAGCACATTTCAGGTAAGTTATGCTCAAATTGGAGAAAGTCCAGAGAAGAGCAACAAAAATGATTAAAGGTCTAGAAAACATGACCTATGAGGGAAGATTGAAAATACTGGGTTTGTCTAGTCTGGAGAAGAGAAGACAGAGAGGGGATGTGATAACAGTTTTCAATTACATAAAAAGTTGTTACAAGGAAGAGGGAGAAAAATTGTTCTCTTTATCCACTGACGATAGGACAAGAAGCAATGGGCTTAAATTGCAGCAAGGGTGATTTAGACCAGACATTAGGAAAATCTTACTGTCAGGGTGGTTAAGCACTGGACTAGATTGCCAAGGGAAGTGGTGGCATCTCCATCATTGGAGATTTTTAGGAGCTGGTTAGACAAACACCTGTCAGGGATGGTCTAGAATACTTAGTCCTGCCATGAGTGCAGGGGACTGGACTAGATCTCTCAGGAACGTCATGTTTGAATTGGTCTGCTATTTAAGACCAAATACATGTACAGTAAGACAATGCTTTTAAAAGAAGAAACAGTCCTAATTACTTTGTTTCTAAGTACTGTACCACTTCCATCTGACGGAAGTCTAGTACACAACACGGTCCCTTGAAAACGGCGTTACAGCCAAAATTACTGCATGCATTATTTCTCATAGCCCACATCAGTAAAGGGTAACAACCTTTTATCAAGTTAATCTAACTTTGTAAGTAATACTAACTTTTGGACAATGCTTATAGAACATTAAATAAGTAGTGTAGTCTGAAATGGTTGCCTACCTTATCGATCATGAATGATGGTCCCTTACGTATGCTCTTACCTCAGTTTACACATATGGGTTAGCCACTTAAAAGTTATTAGGAGCTAAGCTCTAGGCCTTGAGGAGAACAGTAGTCCACCCTGGTCTACATGCAATCACTACCTTTCATCTCTGTCATTCTCCTTCCCTTTAGGAACAGGATTGGATTTTTAATCATTTTTAAAAGTTTAATCTTAATTTAGGAAAGACTGCCAGGTTTTTTTTAAGCATTTGGTGCTATTGGAATGTACATTAATACAGCCAAGATTCTAAACAGACTGGTTTGAGAGCTTATTTCAGCTGAATGATAAGAGGAAAGATAGCAAAGAGTAAGCTAGGATTTGGTTTTTCATTCCCCCAGTTTCTCTAAAGTGGAGTTCACCATACTATTTAGTCTTCCTGCCACCTCCATACACATGGGGCCTCTTATGAAGTGCTCTGCCTTGCATTCTTTCTACTCTGCTCTTCAAAATGGCAGAGGAGATATAGGTAAAGAGCAGCACAATCCACAAATGGGAGCAAAGGTGGAGATATGACAGGAAATGTGCAGCCGAAGTATTCAAGAACAGAAGCTTAAGTTTAGGATCCTAGGTCTGTATTTAGGAGCCTACAGGTGAGATTTGCGTGTTTAAGTCAGGGGCGCACAAACTTTTTGGCCCGAGGGCCATATCAGCATTGAGAAACTGTATGGAGGGTCGGGTAGGGAAGGCTGTGCCTCCCCAAAGAGCCTGGCCCCTGCCCCCATCCACTTCCCGCCCCCATCAGAACACCCGATCCATCCAATGCGCCTTGTCCCCTGACCCCCCCCCCCCCCCAGGACCTCACCCCCATCAAACCCCTGCTTCTCCCTGTCCCCTGACTGCCCTGACCCCTATCCACACCCCCGCCCACTGAGAGGCCCCTTGGGACCCTATCCACACCCCCCCCCCGCTCCCTGACCCCTATTCACACCCCCAGAGAGGCCCCCCCAGGACTCCCACGCCTATCCAACCCCTATCCCCTGACTGCCCACCCCAGAACCTCCATCCAATCCAACTGCCCACCAGGACCCCTTGCCCCTTATCCAACCCCCCTCCCCACCATGCTGCTCAGAGCAGCAAAGCCCCACCGCCCAGCCCGAGCCAGCCATGCTGCTGCCACGCTGCCCAGCAGGAGCAGCAGGCCAGAGCGCTGGCATCATGTCACGCTGAGGCTGCAGGGGAGGAGGGACAGCGGGGGAAGGGCCGGGGAGTTAGCCTCCCTGGTCAGGAGCTCAGGGGCCGGGCAGGACCGTCCTCCGGGCCAGATGTGGCCCGCAGGCTGTAGTTTGCCCCACCTCTGGTTTAAGTGAATCTGGAGCACTGAAATCAACATTTTTTGAAAAAGCTCATCCCTGAGATGCCTCACTGTGGCTCTAGGGTCCTAACTTTGAGCTCCTGTTTTGAAAGTGTTGTCCCTGCAAAGTTAGGACTATACACTACCATTTTCTGAAAAAGACATCCCTTGACATAGCAGCATGAAAAGTGTCCAGTGGAAATCTGCTTCCCTCCTCCTCACGTAATGACTGACTTTAGAGAGCTTTTGAAACTTAACTGATTCAGGAGTACAAATCCTACTGATTTTCAGTGAAACCTGTTCTGAGTCACTTGGGTGCTTTTGGAAGCCTACACTCAAAAATTATGTAAAGGAAGTGATTAGCTGTTATCTAGTAAAGTTACTCTGATTGTGATACCAATATTAAAAAAACAGCATGACCAAATAGGTTTATAGTCCTCCAGTCCTAGAAGTTAAAAAGGTTTTTACAATGAAATGACAACAGTCCTTAAGAGCAAAGCTCCTGGCATCATGCCAGTGAAAATCCATATGGTAGTAACTTCTAAATTATGCAGTTCCAAAGGGTCTGGTAGAGCTGTAAAATATTTTCTAGCAATGTATAAAGCTTGGAACACATTTTCCAACATTTCAACACAGTGATCAAATACGTTCCTGGATCTGAAGCTAAAAATCAAGTTCAAGCTGAGCGAAAGCCAGCAAAGACTAGATAGTACAGCACCTGACAGACTTGTAGAATGCCCCTCTTTCCAGAAGTCAACTTTTTAAGTTATAGTTTGATCTGTTACTGGTTTGTATGTCCATGTACAAGACAGTCAGGGTTAGTGGAAGAGGACATTTTTCTGAGGCTTTAGGCTCAAGGGAGGTTGTCTTTCAGTAAATCCATGGATTCCTTAGAAGCAAATTAAGAGTCCAGTCATGGGCAGCAGGTATCAAAGGCAGGGGAAGGCTAAACCTACCCAAACTGCCAGCATGGCCCCGCCCAACCTCCACCCCCAGGCCTCCTCCTGCTTCCCACTGTGCTCTGCTGTGGCTCTTCCTTCCCACAGTGGAGCCCAGCCAGGGAGCCCAGGCAGCTGTGGGGAACTGCAGCAGACCCTGTATCTCCCCGAGGTGCAGGGGGACTGAGAACCTGTGTCCCCACCCAGGGCACGAGGGTCTGCAACTCCATGCTGGCTCCTCACAACTGCCTGCACGGCTCTCCCCAACCCAGCTCTGGACAGGGTATGCAGGGGCCTCACAGCCACACCCACAGCCTGGCCACAGTAAGAGCCTCGCAGGCAGCTGTGAGGAGCCATGGACCTTCCACCTGCCCTGGGCTGGGGGCCTGGGACATGGGCAGGGGGCTGCTTTTGCCTTGACCTCGGGCAGGGGCCCCCAGCCTCCCCTACTTTGGGGAGGGCTCTGGTGCCTTTGTCCTGGGCTGGGGCTACTGGGGGCTGGCCTGCAGCCAGTGCTTGTGCTGCCCGCCCACCCAGGGGCTGCGCTGCCTGCCCGCCGGACGCTCTGGAGGGGGGAGTCCTCTGGGCTCCAGCAGGGAAAGGGAGGGGCAGGGCCCGGGGCAGAAGGGGTAGGTTGGCCCGGGGATAGCCTCCTGAAGCCCATGGTTCACCCGCCGCCCATGAGTCCAGTATAGTAAACAAAGCTTGTTCTTGGTTCAAGATAGCTGGACTCAATTTGAATAAGTCCATTGGGTTACAGAATGAAGTAATGTCTCAGCTCAAGGCTGCTGGAGTCATGCCAGATCTCTAGGGAAGTATCCAGTTTTTGCTGAAGGAGCAGTAGAGATCAATGGGAAAAATTCTGTGCGCACAATTCAGTAACTAGGTTCCTTAAGACTTAGTTTTCCAGTAGTTACAGTGTAACAAAGCATTTGTGCCATTAACAGTAGGACCATATCGTATATTCATAAATATAGCCACTGATAATAGAACATTTGATTATTTGCTTACTTTTTCTGATGCTGTTGCAATTCTTGTTCCCTGCAGGTTTAAAGCTATACAGCTCAAGACTCCTTCATGAGCTGGTATGTCCACAGGAGGCTTTTCTGTATTAGCCAGATCCACTATCTGCACATGCCCAGTATGTGTCCCAGGGAATGCAAGAAGGGAATTATTACTATTTGGACAAAGGACACAGAGACCTAAAAACAAAATTGACAAAAAAGCAGCAATTTATTTTCAAAGCCTTAAAAAAAAAATACACAAGTTCTTACAATACACGATAATTTTAATGTAAGGAAATCCTAAATTTCACATCTTAAATTTAGAAATACATTTTTGAATTGTACTGCAAAAAGTGAAGACATAAGGTTAAACAAGCTTCTAATGTCTCCAAATATAATCCAGCAATACATGCACTGCACTTACAAGCAAATATTTGGGGGGTTGAGGGGGTGTTAAAAAGGAGCGTAGCAAATTAACAGTGTGATCTCTGGGACTGCAGTTCATCCTACAATGCAACCAGGATAGCCTATGTTCTGTCTAAGAATCTGGACATTTTCAGCAAGTAGTTTTACAGGTCTTATGTACTAGCTACCATAAGATGGTCCAAAGCCTATAGAAGTCTGAAGAAAATATCACCTTGCCAAAATTTAAAAAGCAGGGTAACAAAATATATTTTTAGAATAAAACTTAAGTTGGAGGGGCAAAATTAATTTCAACTACATTTTTAACTCTGAGAGCCAAAAAAAAAAAAAAAAAATCAGAAGCCAGACTAAGATGCCTCATCTTCTGGCCCCCCAGATTTCAAGCTAGTACCTATTTACTGAAATGGAACTTACGTCTCTTCTGAATTTGGCCCATTAAGTCTAAGGGGTAAGTTGGTGCAAGTCACACCAGTGGGGCAGAAGTGCATTCTGACAGGGAAAAAAAACAAACAAACAGGAAGGTATAACCAAGGATCAAATTAAAATAGGAGACTCTCTCATTTAGACCTTCTGGCTCCTTGGCTTTTAAATTGGTGCAATTTATATGCAAATTACACCACCATGCACACATCAACTCCAGAAATACCAGTGACACTATCAGCCATGGCAGCCTTTTGAAAGTCCATATCTCAGCCTTCATAGATTTTAAGTACTTTTGGACAGGGCTATGCCTCCGTGTACACACACACACACACACCCTAGCTCAAGGGTTGGCGATCTTTCAGAAGTGGTGTGCCGAGTCTTCATTTATTCACTCTAATTTAAGGTTTTGCGTGCCAGTAATGTTTTCAAAAGGTCTCTTTCTATAAGTCTATAATATATAACTTAACTATTGTTGTATGTAAAATAAATAAGGTTTTTTAAATGGTTTAAGAAGCTTCATTTAAAATTAAATTAAAATGCAGAGCCCTCCGGACTGGTGGCCAGGCCCCGGGAGGTGTGAGCGCCACTGAAAATCAGCTCACGTGCTGCCGTTGGCATGCGTGCCATAGGTTGCCTACCCCTAGCTCAATGAGGCCCTGATCCAAGTAGTATTTCTATAGCATGCACCACACTTAGATATTTAATCTGAAAAGCTCAGTGATTTAAGAGCACTTACTCCTCGCTGTCTTGGAGAACTATGTGGAGAGAGACTGTATTACGGACAATACCAGTGTTATAAAGACTGAAAGGACTGGTAATTAAGGGCAGTCTTCTTTGTAGAGACAAGGAGGGTGAGGTAATATATTTTATTGAACCAACTTCTTTTGGTGAGAGACAAGTGTTTTAGCTTACACAGAGCTCTTCTTCAGGTCTGGGAAATGTACTCCGAGTATCACAGCTACATACACGGTGGAAGAGATTGTTTAGTGCAGCATTTCTCAAATGCAGCCACTGTGGTTGCATGTGACCACCAGGGGCTTTTCTTGTGGCCACAGCCTTCTGGACTGTTATTGGGGGAGGAGGAGGGGGGGGGGGGGGGGGAACAGTGGCTCCTCCCTGGTGCTCTTGGATATACCAGTTTGGTGTTGGTTGCTGGGGCCACCAGCAGGGGTTGGACCCTGCCCCCCTCTGGAGACAGGTGGGGCACAACACTGGAGGAGCAGCTAGTGAGTTCCCTACCTTCCCAGGGGCAGTGCGACTCAGGCTTTGAGCTTCAGTCCTGGGGCAGCAGGTTCTTGCCGTGGGGCTTCAGGCTCCAGCCCTGGGCTCTGGAGGCATGGCTTTGGGCTCTGTCCTCCAGCCACAGAGCTTCAGGCTCTGGCTCACTGCTGCCTCCCTGGCCCCCACTGCCTCCTCCAATCCCCCCCAATCCAGGGCTTAATTTGTCCTCAAACTTGCCAGGGCTGAGTAAGTCTGCTGTGAAAAGTGATATTAACAAACATACAAATATCACTTTGCCATTTTACTAGCTAGCAAACAAATAAATACACGTCCTAATCATTGTAAAATGTCAGGTTTCAGAGTAACAGCCGTGTTAGTCTGTATTCGCAAAAAGAACAGGAGTACTGGTGGCACCTTAGAGACTAAGGAATTTATTTGAGCATGAGCTTTCGTGAGCTACAGCTCACTTCATCGGATGCATACCGTGGAAATCCGATGAAGTGAGCTGTAGCTCACGAAAGCTCATGCTCAAATAAATTGGTTAGTCTCTAAGGTGCCACAAGTACTCTTTTTTTTTTATTGTAAAACGTGTGTATTTGTTTGTATTTTTCCTAAAGCTAATTAAGTATGGGGGGGAGAGTGTTAAAGCAGCCATCAGGAAGAGTTGGTGGCCGCACTCTGAGGCCACCAAATAATTTGTCCTGAGAACCCCTGGTTTATTGTAATTAGTTCACCTTGAATGGTCTCAGATTAATGTGTGTTAAGTGGCCCATTAACACCTTCCCAGCCATGGGGCAGTAAGGAGGGCAAAAAAAAAAAAAAGAAGCTGGTAGGTGATAGTGGGTTATAGATTGTTGTAATAAGCCATAAATTCAGCAGCTCTAGGGAGTCCAGGATTTTTAATGTCTAGCATATGACTTAAGAACCCAGGATCATCTTTTGAAGGTGTTGTGCAGGTTTCCTTTGAGGACAAGGATTGAGAGGTCAGATATAGAGGAATCTCTTGGGGGAGGGGAGGGAGTGTTTGCCCACAAGTGATAGGGTGTCTTATTTTTCTGTGCAAGTTCATTCGAGCACCGTGATTGTCTCATTTCATCCACATAGTTGTTCTTGGGCCATTTAGTGCCCTGGATGAGGTACACCACATGTTGAGATAGGCATGTGTAGGACTCATGAATCTTGAAAGGTGTGTTGGGGTGAGGGGGTACTGATCATCGTAACAGTGGAGATATGTCTGCAGGTTTTGCGTCTGTTGTTCTGGCAAGGTCTGGTGCAGCTTTGAGTTGATGTGTCCTGGTCGGTGGGGAGCTTGCTTCTGAGGAGCTTGGAGGGCTGTTTGAATGCCAGAAGAGGGGGTTCAGGAAAGATTTTTCAGGATGTGGTTCCCATCGAGTTTGGTTTGTAAGTGCTTAATGATACCTATATGGGTTCCAGTCTGGGGTGGTAGGTGACAACTGGGACTGTGCAGTTGGGAGGGGGTTATTTCCATATTGGAGCAGACTCGCTTCTTATTTGGGTGGCCTGTTCCGTGATGTGATCTACTGCTGTCTCTTTAGTAGGAACTATCCTTAATCATTAGTATTCTGTGCTAGAAAACTCACCCATTTTCAGAGCACACAGATTTGCAACTTTACAAGTACTGTGCTGAAAAGGGCAGCACCACCTTACTTTGACAAACCAAACCCAGGTATGATGAAATGTAGATTACGTGAGAGCTTTCCTGCAATAAAGTATTATGAAGCATTGTGAAATAAACTTTATGCTAACAGTTTGCCACAAAAGTATCATCCCACAAGGGTATGATTAGAATGTTTCAAAACAAGTCATTGTTAATGAAATTAAACAAAGTGAATAAAGCAAGGAATTTGAACTAGAGGAATATAATGATAAAAATGGGACAGACTCAAAAGAAGAGTAACAAGGGCCAAAAAAGAACACCTACCGTCCCCCACTTTAAGTACACTACTAACCTTTAGGGTTGTAGCAGGTTTCAAAGACATGCAACTGGTGGGGATTGTGTGTGAATGTGAAAACTTTAATCATGGAGTCCAAAACTACCACAATTCTGAAACAGATAAAAAGGGAAGCACTTATGTCTTATCAATCAAGAGCAGGGAAAGGGGACAGAGACAGATACACACTCACACCCCTACTAATGCATAATTATTTCAATTGTACAATGCCTTCAACATACTTTAATTAATTTGATCCTTACACTCTCCTACCCTCCCAACGAACAGTAACTGCAGTTTCTGCAAAACCACTTAGTCATGACTGTGGGTTAACTAACAAGACAGATAAACCAGCTGTTCATAAATTCAAGCACAGGTTCCTGCTACAGACCAACAGGAACTCCTGTAACATTCTTCTTCTGTACATGGCAAAGCAGAACGTGTCAGTGGTAAGCTATACACCAATCTACATGAACTCTGATCCATTCTCCCTTTAAAAAGCTTGTCCAAAAGCACCATTTTAAGTAGATTTCTAGTTGCAGACATGCTTTAAAGAATTTCCTTCCATAAACAACTGAGAATCTCTCAAAAATACCTCTACACATAGCAGACAAAATGCCTTGCACATGGAATAAATTTTTACTCATACCTACCTATCTCTTCGCAATTTAACGGCTTTGACTTCTGTTGAAAATTCTATTTCAATAACTGTCTTCTTTTTCAGATCATCCCAGATCATCACTAAAATGGTGGAAAAGATCCCATCAGAAAACCAGTAATATTTCATTTCAGTTTTCTAAGATGTTTGACACAATCTCTTCCTAACTGGAAAGCACTTATATCAGTTTGATAAAGTGACAAGAAAAGCTATTTGTTGGACATTGATCCTGGGTTTGTATTCAGCCTGGGCTTACAGCAGTGGATGGTTGCTTTCCCCCCCTAAATTAAGTAGTAAAGAATTAAGACAGAAGCACAATTGTCAAGGTATTACTAGAACATTAATATCTCAAGTGTTTCCAGAGTGCTTTACAAACTGTGTACAAAACAAAAACCAATCACTTTACTGATCTTTGAAATGTAACCAACTCTGTAGAGGAACACTGCATCTGTTTAAGAGTATACACCAGTATAAAATACTTTAGGATAGGAAGTGAATACAAGTAATTGAAACCACAGAGAGGATTTAGGTAGCTAGATTAATTATGGATATGCAATACAACCAAGACACAAGGGCAAAAATGACAAGTGGTCAAGACCCCCATTGTAAATGCTATCTAAAAAGATAGCACCTCCAGTACAACAGTAAATTCTAACACCAGTGAGCTGGTTCAATATGAACGGAAAGAACTCCATGCACTTCAAACCACTTACTGAATCACCATGTGTTTTCTTTTGCTGTCTCCCATCAAATTGAGCTTTCTAGTTAAGTCTTAGGTGGTACAGTTGCCTAATACAATACAAAGGCTGACACTTTAAAAGAAAACTAAGATGTGGGGACTGGATGCCTTAACTGCAGAGGCAGTCTCACTTTCAGGTCAACTGCTTTGAGTAGGTACATCAGTGTTGATGGTTTTGATCAGATTTAAAGATACATGAATACAAATAGCTGAAGCAAATGATGATGAAATACAGGCCACTTCACTACCACCACATTATGAGCATTCATTGTAACCTGACAGTGTCAAAAATTAAACACTAAAATGGCCAGCACCTTATAATTTAGCACCGAGAGCAGGCCAGCTTCACTGACTTGATAACAAGGGCTTAGCAAACAATAGAAAAACCTCCAAAACTAAGTGCCAATATTTCAGTCTCTGTGCATCTCAGAACACCAAGTCCTCCAATTCAGAAAGACTTGGTCACAGTGGAGGGGCTTACTATTTTGTTAGCGATTGTCAAGTTCTCTAAATAGGTCAGGCACAATAATGAGTATAACCATGACTTCTGGGAAAGTTTTCAATCTTGTCAAGATTGAAAGTGAATTGTAAAACCATTACTGCAAGAAATCTGTGAAGACTTCCCCCAGCCCAGCCCTCTCAGACAAAGGTTTTTAAATTGTTAAAATGTATGAGAAAGTTTTAGCAAATTTACAAATCATTGGCCAGGCTTGCAGCTCAGTCAGGTTTTCTTTCTGTTTTTGTATGACTGATTTTTATTGGCATGCAGGTCTGAGTAGGTTTCTTTAGAGTTTATTTTCAATATCTTAGAAAATGGTGAGCAAGCCATTCACCAAGTAAAATGACATAAGAACCACAGATATTCCAAAACAAGCATGACAGAAGTAGAGATAGAGAGTCTGGGGTCAAATTCATGAGCAGGCATAATGCCCAATGGCTTAAGAGGAAGATACATATCTTCCTTGAACTTAAAATACTAAAAGAATTTTAGGCAGGTTGCAACCAAGACTACACACAGACTTTCTGGATTCTATAAAAAAAATAGAGTTTGCAGTCTGTTGGATGCCAGAAACACATTTATGAAACACTGTACCTTTGTTAGGTGGATATTTTGGTTTTTTTCCTCCACCAACTAATGCTAAATAGTTGCACCGAAATAACATTTCAACATGGCCAATGCCTCCTTCTAGAAATTCTGTAAAACAAAAAATGAAATTTGTAAATATACTCAGCACTTAATTTCACAGCAAAATGGGTCTTAGATAGCATTGGAACATTTTCTTCTTTACAGAAAGTGTGACATTTTAGGATTTACTACAGAAGTGCAAAATACCACTGAGGTCAAGCCCATGTTAAGAGGCCTTTTACTGCACTGTCACAAGAAAATGCTTCAGTATATGACTACGGCTACTCTCAGTTATCTACACTATGGAAAGATCTCCTCCTGTCCCCATCTGGATATTAAGAGAATCCAAAGAGTGATTACTCTTAGCTACAATTAACAGCTTTTTCAGCAGAGACCACAAGTTACATTTAAAAAAAAAAAAACTAACTAACTATACAACACAGGATACTTAGATATTCAAAGTTGTTTATGATTGCAAAAAAGTACAATTCCCCCCCCACACACACACAAATACTGAAGTATACTTTTTAAAATGGAAAACAAGAAGTTACTCATTTATGGTATGTATATATCAATGATCCTATTAAAATTAATTTCTCTTTTATGGTATGTTAACACTTCTTGCAGGCAACAAGAAAGAAGAGGTTTTTTAGGAAGGATTTTGAGAGAAAAAGTGGCTAGTGAATACAGATTAGGTAGGCATGCCATGTTTATGGGCAGTATTGAAGCAGAGGAGATATCAAAGCTAGCATCAGATGTGATGGGAGAGTTGCAAGAGAAAAGGGTAGAGGCACTTGTCACTATTTTATGCCATTTACTTTTTTGATTTTCCTCTCCGTTTATGCAATTAAATTAAGCAAAAGTAAAAGTGTATTCTAGTCAGTTTCACTTTTTGGTTCTCAAATTCTACCATCCTTTCATACAGTCTTCAGGGGCAAAATAGAGCTGTTCTTAAATCTCACTCTGCACAGTGAGCTCTATGGTCACCAATATCTGGTGGAGGAAAGTTCCATAGCTGTAGGGCAGCCAGTCAAAGTTCAGTCCCCTTTCACCCCGATAATCATTTTCAAAACTACTAATTTTATTGGCTCCAGTCTCTGCAATTAAGTACAAAGCTCTGATTAGTATTAACAGTGCTATAAGCACCTCAATTCAAGTAAACTGAGAAACATAACTTGGCATATGGTAGGGTATATACTTCTTTTAGAGTGTGTAAGTAAGTTCTCTTGGGCAGGGCACAGTAGATCAGGATCTTGACCTGGATCTGGTATTGGACAGGTAGCCAGTACAGCATGCAGAAAAATGGGGTTGAGGGGGAATGTGCTCAATCTGTTTTGCTCTGAAGATGAACCAAACACATGCACATCCATCTGGAGCTTCTTCATGGCGTTCACTTCCATCCCCAAGTAGCAGTGAACCATCTGGACTAGGAAATAATGAATGCTTTGGTCCAATGGGAAGGAACTTTTAGCTAAAAGCGCCATTTGGGTATCCAAGAGTAGAAGTCCAGAAGGACACTTTAGTCCAGCATTACACTGATGGTCAGTGGACAAGTGCCCTAACATTATGGTTTTAGACAGTTACCCCCCAATAATATGAGCATCACTTCTGTCTTGCACAGATTAAGCTTCAGTCAGCTGCTTTTTAACCAAGTCTCTCTCTGACTCAGATACCAGGAAACCAGAGTGATGGTGCTGTCTATGTTTAATGTAAAGTTATGACAGCCACTATGCTTGAGGGCAGTGTGAAAACAGTGTTGGATTATATACAATTCAAATTTACAGATAGATGTGGAGGAGCATGTGCCACCAACAAGGCCTTCATGACAGGAGGTTTAGGAAAGACCTCTCCTTTGGAAGTGAGTCTCAGACAAAACACAAATGAGAAGCAGACATCCAGGTTTCAGAGGAAGAGAGGAAATGGAGTTTAAGTAGTTAGAAAGTCATGAATGACAATGAGCTTTCTGAAGGCAGAGCTGGAATTCCAGAAGGAGCAGAAAGAGGAGTGGGATCAGAAAGGTTAGGGACGCGACAGATTAAAGAACACAGAACCTGAGGGATGGGAAGCAAAATAGGAATGGTAGGAGTATACTCAGCAGGGATGAGATTAAAGATAGACATCACTAGCAGTTAGGAGGAGCTACATCCCTCTTAGGGCAACTAAAGGATGTACGGACTGGAATCAGAGACCTCCACACACTAAGTTAGAAGAGAAGGCTTAAGAAAGGAGGACTGGAAAAGCAGTGAGGCTGTTAGGAAACCCCAGAGACCTCACTGGTAGTCAAAGGGAGAGAAAGGGTTATATCTGAGGTACAGAAAACACTGCCATTCCTCTCAGAACAGATGCAGTCTGTCTCCCTCCACTGGTTAGAAGAATGGTTTTCGCTAAGTTTCTGTCAAGTCTTATTGTTGAGCAAAAACTGTATATAGGCTTTAACAGAACCACCAAAGCAGTTTTTACATGACAGGATCAGGCAGAAAAAGCCCAGTACAGATTACAGCCTAATCCTCTAGCCACTTGATGTGGCGCTCTCCCTTATAAAACACACCACAACTTGTTTAACCTGTGACTTTAGAGAGCTACCCCAGTTCTTTCACACTTACAATGTGTTGCTCACCCCCTCTAGTGACCAGTCCACAGAGGTTTCAGTCTGATACTAGCTTCAAGATCACACACCTGAGTCTGTTAGCTCAGGCAGTAGAGGATTACCAGAAGTTAAATTGCCGATCTAGAAGACACATGATTGAGACTTGCTGTGGAGCCAGTGGAGCCCTCCTTGGCTGGAAGGAAAGTCATTGGACAAGGGCTCAATGCAGGAAGAAAGTAACCCAGGCAAGAGCCCTGTGGAGAAGACATGTAGGCTGGACTTTCAAAACAGAGCTAGCATAGAAAAATGACAGGTTTCAGAGTAGCAGCCGTGTTAGTCTGTATTCGCAAAAAGAAAAGGAGTACTTGTGGCACTTTAGAGACTAACCAATTTATTTGAGCATAAGCTTTCGTGAGCTACAGTTGCACCCGATGAAGTGAGCTGAAAAATGAGAAAGCATCTCACACCTTGTTTCTCTTTTTCTTTGAGAGGATCTGCATTATAAACTCTGAATCCATTTTCCATTCCACATGCAAAGCATCCTAAAACACAAAATGGAAAAATATGCATTAATTATGTAATACAGGCAAAATAGAGCAAGTCGGAGGGCTGGGGGGGGGTGTCACTATTCAAGAGCTTTAATGTCAATGAAATTTATTTCAAGAAGAATGTTGCGTCTTTAATTTAAAATAGAAAGAGTGGAAACAGTGCAAAGTTGTTTTTTCCACTTTGTTTCAATGTTGGAAGTCCCTGGTGTTCTGTTTAAACAGGTGGTGAAGAAACAATGGAAGGAAAGGAGATACTGTATCACATAGGAGGCAGTTTGATCATGAGTCAATACCAGGGAGAAGGAAATCAGTTTTGGTGTATTCTTACTGAAACTTACACTCCCCAGTAACAGCTAGCACAGAAAACCCCTATATTCACTTCATGTACTAAAAAAGGAGTCCTATTTCAAATATTCAGATTACTAATTAAAACTTTACTGTGTTATCTAACAGGTTCGTTCCTGAAATAGGTGAGAATAGTTCTTTATCTATCACACTCGGATAGTGGCATGCAGGATAGCACAGTGCAACTTGGAAGTCCATCAGGTCCACTTAACTGTGGGGAACTAGAGCAACTCAAGCAACGGAACTTATAAACTAAAGAGTTTTGAATATACAGAGATTTTACAGCTCTGACCATTTTTTTTTTTAAGCTGAAGCCCAGAATTGGGTTATGCAGATCTCTTAGATTGGGGAGGGGGGGGGGAGGAGGCGGGGGAAGAAGGGAAGAGAATGACTTTTAAATGGATTCCTTCATACTCCCAGAGTGAGTTCTTCTGCTGTTTTATTTGATTTACATTAGTAAATACTAATGATTCTACTTATCACAAGTAGCGAGTCATACTATCTGCCAGTATTGGACAAATGGCAGAACACACAGAAGCCATTAACAAGCATCCAGAGATTCTAATTATTGTGCATGCAGAGAGATTGTTACAGAAAAAAATTAACTTGATAAAACAAATACACAATTTAAAAGTGAGACAAGGTGGGTGAGAAGAGCTCTGGGTAGCTCAAAAGCTGGTCTTTCACCAAGAGAAGCTGGTTCAATAAAATATATTACTTTACCCACCTTGTCTCTTGTATCGTGGGCCCAACCCAACTACAACAGCACAAACAATAATTTACAAGTGGCATACCAAAATTCATAAAGAACTTTGAGATTCAAGGGCACAAAATAATTGGAACAAGTTTATTTTCCTATGCAATGATCTGAAATTTTTTAAACAACCTTTAATAAAAAAGTTGAGAATGTGTGTGTTGGTGTGTATCCATAAGGAACATTGTGACACTCCCCATCTCTATGTCCACCCCTTTTTCAAGATGATACATTTTTACAAAATATGCCAGTACTGCATCATCTGAAAACTCATGATTTGCTGATCTTTATTGTCCTAGTAATGTGTGTGCCAACATTATATGTAAAGTTATAAGATTCTACTGTATGATGTTAGTAAGGGCTAGTCTACACTAGAAGTGCTACAGTGCAGCTGTACGTCTGGCAATGACACTCTATGCCAACATGTGAGAGCTCTCCTATTGGCATAATAAAACCACCTCCGCAAGAGATGGTAGCTACATTGGCAAGAGAAGCTCTCCCACCAACAAGCACTGTCCTCACTAGCGCTTATGTCAGTGTAACTTAGGTCACTCGTGGGGTGGCTTATTCACACCCCTGAGTGACAAATTATGTTGACATAACCTGTAGTGTAGACAAGCCCTAAGACATATTCCAAATCTGGGGACACAGCCACAAACCAGTTCCTCAGAGACAAAAATCAAACTGATGCCTCAACCAGGTGTCAACTAAATCAAATGGACCATCACCTGGTTAAGTGACCATTCTTTGGCAGGAAAAAGGGTATGAGTGAGAAATTTACATCTTGGCAAAGAAACAGTTGGAGGTTCCTATCCCCACAGACTAGGTCTCCTGAACCCCAGCTTGAGAGAGTTCTCAAAGAAGAGGAAAAGGTGTAAGAAGGAGAACAGATGCCCCAAAATATTCCTCCCTTTCTCTCTACCCACAGCAGCCACAACACCTGAGAAACAAAGAAAAAGCCTAGGACTGAGGGAGGGATCCTGTATGAAAGGAATTCAGCCAGTAAGACTGCTGAATTATGTGGAGAGAGAGACTGTTTTAAATGCACTTAATTGGTTACAAGGAAATAAAAAGTAAAATGCAACAAGCTATGACTTTTAAGCCTCATTACTTGTAATCACTTCAAATCTTTCTGTAGTTCAGAAATTTGTTTTATCTAAACCAGTGTGCTTGGATTGAAGTGTTTGGGAAACTCCATTTGAGATATGCACAAATCCTGTATTTTCTATTAATAAATTGACGGATTTATATGAGCTTCTGGTGTCCAGCCCTGTCCTGGGCAACACAAGACATGCATTTCTGAGGGAAAGTCTGGGCCTGGGAATTTGCTGGTGTTACTCTGCAGCATAATTCAAAAGTACCTGGCCACAGCACTCACACAATATAGCTGGGAGTAATTTACATGCTGGAGGTGGTGTGAGCGTAGACCAGGTAGTTGCTCTCACAGCAAAGCCGTGTAAAAGGCACCCCAGGTTGTAGAATTGACAGGAAACTGCTGTTCAACAGATTGCACCCTGGGTAATGTCAAACATCTACTCTAAAATAATAAAAACCAGGGTCTTGTTGGGCTCAGAGTTATAAACCCCAAATTAATATCTACAAAACTATTAATAAAAACCTCACTTCGCACTTTCCTTCTTCATCTTGCCAAACTATTTGCTCAGATCCCTATGTCCAATTGTTCCTGCATGTCAAAATAACTTGGTTGTTCTGCAGCTAAATGGCAGACAGACAGAGCCTGAAAAGAAGGTTCAGACTACATATTTTTCCTCTTTGTAAACCCTTAATAGCAAGCAGACATCTTATGATTTTATTATAAATAAAGTACATATGTTTATTATGGAAATCTACAATTAATGAAGCGACATATCCCCAAAATTATATTGGGTACTCTCGATTGGTGTTTCCTAATGACTGGTCCATGAACTGTCACTAGACCATGAGATCTCCCTGACACAGTTTAGGAAGGCAGCAAGCCAGTCCCTAGTACCAAAAAGGTTGAGAAACACTACTTTAAATTATGCCACATAAATATATGCGGTGAAGCATCTGCATGGCACCAAGGATATTCAGAATCTTTTGACTATGGATTATCAACTATATACTGGAATTATTTTACAGATAATTTTAAGATAAGCGTGGCTGATATGGCACAATCACTGAAAAACAAATGGATTCAACCATTTTTGTTTTTCCTGAAATTTTAACTAGCTTGCATCAGCAAATCATCAATTTCAGGAAAATAATTTGTTGAGGATTGGCAGCATCCTGCATTTGTATGCATGAACCTTCCAGGTCAGCAGTCAAGATAGTACTTGATATATGGAGAAATCCCTCCCCTCTCACAAGGGGCTGAAATACTGCCAGAATTTTAAAGTAACCCAATAGCCTATTAAGCTGTTTAAGTGTATGTCAACAAAAATGGTTGAGGGAAAGGAGGTGGTGAACATTAGAAGTTTGTGCTGAAAAATTCGAATGGTTAAATCACTGGATTTTTAGGGTATTCCTTCTCTTTTCCTAGGTTTTACTGCCATCTTACTGTAAGAGATAGTTTCTTCTCAAATATGACCATACACCAGCTTGATTAGTTGGAGGGGAGCCATTATACCATGCACAGGATGCAAGTTTTGGAGCATCCATAGGATTCCTGCTGACTGAGCTCACAGAAAGCAACAATTACAACAGGTGCACTGCTCCTCCCATTGTTGTCAACAGGTGCTTTGCCACTGATTTTCAGTAGGTACAGTGTCACTCCTATTTGGCAGGCACTCATTGCCAGCAGACTCCCGGGGCAACACAAGCAGCTACCTTTACATCTGCTTTCAGTACTACAAAAGTCATCTCCCAAGAATAGAAAAGACAGACCAATGATTTTCTTCAAAGGCACTGATGTACTAGTTTGTAGAGCACAACTTCAAGCTGGGCTTTGAGATTTCTGCTTGACCCAGTTTCTAAAAAAGTTCCATATGTCTGAGAGTGTATACACACGGAAGAGGGCAAATGGTGAATATTACCAATCAAGAAAGTCTTTTCACTAACTATAATATTAAAGGTTTCAGAGTAGCAGCCGTGTTAGTCTGTATTCGCAAAAAGAAAAGGAGTACTTGTGGCACCTTAGAGACTAACCAATTTATTTGAGCATAAGCTTTTGTGAGCTACAGCTCACTTCATCGGATGCATTCAGTGGAACATACAGTGGAGAGATTTATACACACAGAGAACATGAAACAATGGGTGTTACCATACACACTGTAACAAGAGTGATCACTTAAGGTGAGCTATTACCAGCAGGAGAGCAGGGGGGACGGGGGACTTTTGTAGTGATAATCAAGGTGGGCCATTTCTAGCAGTTGACAAGAATGTCTGAGGAAGATACTTTAATGTGTTGAACTGAGAGGCTTATAGTCAAGCTAGAGCCACAGCTTCATTTTGCCATGTGTCATTGATTTGCAGCATACATTGAGCTGATAAAGCAAATGGCTATAGTATTCCATGAGCTGCAACTATGGAGTTAATAAATTGATAAGTTATCTGACAAACCTTATAACTGGCTCTAAGGCTCTGTAGCTTTTTCCCCCATAAGGGAGAAATTATCTTTCCAAGGTAATGGCAAGCATGGTATGGTGATGATATAGTTCTGGATGAGAGCTGATATTTCTTGGAGACTATTTTTTCAAATTACATTTCCTTTCTATGAGAGGTTCTCTACAGAATGATTGATATATTTCCAGTATACTGTGGTGGTAAAGTAATGCTTTAAAAAAACCTGTTAGATACTAAAAAAAATTTAAATTTTGCTTTAATATTAGTGAAGGACCAACATTTTATGACAAACCCGAATAGACTATGTTAGCAGACATTAAAATTTGCTATAATGCCACTGCATGTTTTCTAC